AGTAAACCCCCGTGTTTTCTCCTGAGCACCAAAAGCTGTATTAGTGATAGAAAATTCACAGTAGATGCTGTTTCGTTCTCTATAACAAACATGGCACCTTCTGCTAAGTCGCCGTGTGAGCTGACGAGTCTTCTGACCTCCATGAGTCCGTCACATTGTTGTCACGACCTCCCTGCCTTTCAGCTCTTGTCTCTGAACTGTAATTTAAACTTCACACAGCCCCAGCTTACGTCTCAAGAGCTTTCCCCAAAACAATGCACGTCCTCTCTGGTTTGAACGAGACCGGGGCTTGAAGATCTGGATTAATTGTTGTCTTTTCGCTGTGTTTAATTATCAAAAGAGCAGAGCGCACCGTCTTCGCTGCTGACTAATTCCACCATGTTCCGCTAATTATGTTGTGTTAATAGAGGTTTTTCTGTTATGGCGACACGCTCATTAACTTAGCGGTGACACTGACCTTAATTGGATAAGAAGCCATAAAGTCCCGTTTCTTTGATTAGAATGATTGCTTGGTTATAAACATCAACCCTGAAACTGGTTCAAAGCCCATTAAACAACATAAGATGTAACTTACTACGATGTGTTAATAAAGTTCCGTATGTTCCCTTTTGTATCCCTCTCGATGTCAACACATTTATAAATACAGTATTACAAAGTCCACATTATAAAATCTCGTCATCATAGCTGCACGAACCAACACAAAGAGAAACTGAGCGCACAGTGAATTCTTCTTTGTGAGGGGGAGATGTGTCGCTTCCTGCTGCGGACTCAAGATACGACGCAGCTCCGTAGGTTTAATAAGGGTCAGTCTGGAAAGGGAAGCTGGAGAAAAGCTCCAAAATGTCAGACACTGCGGCATCATCACTCACAGTAAATGGGCTTCTGCTTTCCCAGCGTCTCCCTTTTGTGATCCTCCTGGGTCCGGCGCACGCCGGCGATGTTGTGAACCGATGTGCAATTATTTCAAAGCAGCTTGTAAAAACGCAAAAAACTTCCAGGTCATCTGACGTAACAACGATCCAAATGTGTGGCTGAATTTTTAATTTATGCAGAGTTCAAGTTATCCTAGTTAAGGCCGAATCGAAACCGTAGTCGACCACGTTGTCAAATACCGCCTGCCGCCATGTTCACACATAAACAAAGTTAATATCAAGCACAGCTCCACGTGGCAAAAGGCCCGGCACGGACAGAAAACAGACTGATGCCACTAGTGCTTTCCCTGCTCCCATACCCACACATGCCCTCAATTACCCTATGAGCGCCACATGTGCAACATCATTAATACGATCCACTAATAATGGCGGCAAGCTTCATTGGCCGTGAGTGAGATTTGACTAATTACTGTAATTGTATCGGAGTCATGCTCATTAAATATGAAAATTGTGTTCTGTGAAATGAATGGGTTTTCATGATCACTCTCGCATGGACGGGGAAGAAATAAATTAGAGAACAGTTTTTTCGTTGCGCAATTAATGACAGCACACACAGCTACCTGCCACACCCCGCGGTCTGGCAATGTCACGTCTGTGTGTGTGTGTGTGTGTGTATTTTTGTGGGGGTTCGGCATTACTTGTTGCCTATGATTTTCTTTACACGTACAGTATGCATGACCTGCTTACCCGTTTAACATGGAAATGTTAATATTGCACAGAGCATATAATTACGATTTTAATGATTTTTCTCTTTATCTTTTATACAAAAGTTGTTCAGCTACATTTTTTTTCTTTTTTTTTCCATTTGATTTTATATTATTCACAGCTTAGATTAAAATGTCATTTCTGTTTTTATTATTAATCCACTAAACCGTAATGTGCGATTATCATTGTCCTATGTGAAGGAAAGTGACCATGTTTACAAACGTGAACATACAGACCACTAAAATCCATTTCATACCATACACTTCATTCATAATCTTTCTTTGCCACAAGCAATTAGCAGTGAAAAAAAACCTTCTGGTTCATACACAACAAGATGTGCCCGTGACTCTTTACTGTAACTTTTGTTCATACTTGTTTCCATCATCTCTGGGGATTTCAGCAGCTGTCAGGGCTCAGGAGCCTAGACAACAGCTTTTGGGAGGGGCTACTTCCCAAAGGAACAGCCCCCCCCCCCCCCCCCACACACTTGTTTCTGCATGCTCAAGTTGTTTGAGAGATCCTGTAATGCAAATGTGGTACTTACCTTTAACCGCCCAGCAACAAAACTGTGTCACTCCCACAGCCTTCTGTGAAAGCCCTGATTTTGCCGAAGGAGATATGGAGGTGAGGAGAGGCAGGTAAACAAAGCACAACGTGGAGGTCAAATGCTAATGAGAAGTCCATTTGTTACGTCTGGCTCCCTCCAAAGGCAAAGTAACAACGTCAGAGGCGCCCAGACTTAATAAATCATCCCAATAAATAATCAACTCTAAGACTCGGGAAAGACTCGATGGTCTTCATTGTGTGCGCCGCCTCCAATTAATTTACATCCGCGTCCTGATTTCTCATCGCTTAAGAAAGCAAGCGGCTTGCAAGTCCTTTTTTTCAGGCCTAAAAGGCCCCACCATATAATGTCCATCTGCTCACTGGGTAATAGGGTGATGCCCAAAAAGAACCTCACTGTGAACTGTACCGCAACTTTGCTTTGGTCGAGATACGAGACTCGAACAGATGCACGACCACGAGGGGTTTGCAGCTGTTGCCGAGGCCTCAGAAAACCGACCCGCAGCTGTCCCCCCCCCTCCATCCGTCTGGGTCCCCGAGTGAAAGGAGAGCGAAAGACAGACGTGACTGATGAGGTGATGACCAACCCAGAGAGACACGTGCATCGCAGGTAGCAACACACGTCTGCTTCTTCCCTGCTCTCCCCCTGCATCAGAGGCGGCGACGCACTCCGCGGGCCGCCTACAGATGGCGCTCAATTCATTTTGGAGGAGACTTTTCTTTTACTCAGGGCTGTCCATCACAAAGAGCCACAGACCGCATGGTGGCTGCAGAGAAAAAGGCACCCTTACCCGTCCGTCCTTGAGCCAGGAGACAAGTGACGAGGAAAAAAAAAAAAGAGTAGATTCAGCATGTATGTGTGCTGTAGCCGGGAGCCATAAATCATGACCTTCTTCAATTTACACAGGGAGCATATTGATGGTTTCCTATCTCCTCCACTCACTCTCACCTGGTTACATTGTCAGACACAACACCATGACTGACACTTTACAGCCTATTCTCAGTGGACTCTCACCTCCTGCCGCTGAATAATCCTCGCCCGAGGAAAGGGAAGAGGAGCGCGGCCGTACGGTGGTGGTGGTGGTGGTGGTGAAGGTTGCACTAACGGCGTGATCATGGATTCCCTGAAAGAGGAAGCCGACAAGGTTGTTTGATTAACAGACCGCGGCGGGACAGTGTCAATGCCCCTTCTTAAGCACGGCCCCCCCACCCCCCGGCGGCTGGAGACGATTTAAGGAGAATGAAACACGGTTGACAAGATGGAAAGTCACTGTGAGGACAGCGGGCCGTGCCCTCATTCCTCCTGCATGACTGCAATCCTGCGAGCAGCACAGTGAGACGCTCACGGGACAAGTGATTATGGGATTTTTATTTTATTTATTTTTCTTTCAGTTATTTATCAGTGGCCCTTGGGTGTCAGCAGGGGGGGGGGCGGCTTTCCACCCACCACACTACTGCAGAACAATCCACAAGTTAATACGCAGTCGTTATTTGCAGCAATAATACGGAGTGGCGGGGGTAGCCGCGCCAAGAGAGTAAATAAAAAATGAAAAAAAGTGACAAGCCCATTTATTTCTTTTAATTCAATCTTCTGTTGAGAGATCTTTTCGCTGGACATCATAGTTGATTTTGTTTAAGGCAATGGTTTGTGGCAGGCTGATTAAACACAGACCCCCCCCCCCCTCCCCCCGTATTGGCTGAAGTTGAAAGCCCAGTAAATGAAATGACTTCCACAGGATTGCACCACAAAGGAAGGGAGTGTGTCAGATGTGCATTCAGCCAGTGTTGTAGCCAACGCAAGGTCAAACGGGACACCGTGTAGACAGCTAACCAACTGACAGTCGGGACAGGGGGATGCTGTTACACCCCAAGGCACCGCCTTGCTTAAGCACACAAGTGCACACGGACAGATGCACACATGCTAGCCGCCGTTGGACTGCACATTTCATTTGCCACGGCCGTGCCGGAATATAAGTGGATGGAAATTATTAACGTACGCTATTATTTGAAGACACCCATTGAATGTCAATCTCAAGTGGCAAAAAGAAACTGCAAAACATTTCTAGTTACTGTATTACATTTATTTATTATCAATGGGAAAGACAAGACCTTTTCATGTTTATTAAGCTTTTACAGTTTAGACCTTTTTAGGATTGTAAAACAAACTTGAGGGTTTCTAACTTCAGAAATAATCTTTTTTTCTTTCATCCAATAAACATATTCTTCTTGTGAGAAATTCCGATAAAATGCGTAGTTTGCTACATTGTAAAGTGTCAGCATAATTGCAGAGGGAAAAGACTCCAATATGGAATTTAATTGACTTGTTTAAAGCTAAAACCAGCGGTCTAATTCCGTATCCTCGCGTTCATCAAAGAGGTTGTCAAACTGACACTCAAAACGCTTTATAAACCCAAAGATATGGTGTTGGTACGGTAATCCATGGAGGCAGAGCAAGCAACACCCCCAACTTCTCCTTCCCTTATGTTCAAGTGACGCTGAACTCCATCTTGCTCTCTTGTTGTTTCCTGATTCCTTGTTGCTTCTCAGCAGCCCACTTGTCCTAGTGGTTAGGATACTTTAAACACAGAGGCCAAATTGTATCTATGTACACATGCAAAGAATAAGGTTTATTAACGGAAGTAAAAGTAATATACACATACATAAAGCAACTTGTATAATCCCTCCAAAGAAAGAGTGATATATTGAGTTTGTCTGGTCAGTAAATATCAAGAAACCTTTTTGAAGATTGATTCCTTCCCTTGTTTGTTGATATAATTTGAAGAAATAATTTGCAGGGAATACATAAACCATGTGATTTTATTGTCACTGTACATTCAGTGCACTGTTAGATCGGACTCACTCCAAAAGAAAAAGCATATATTTACACATGAGTACATTAGGCATGAACACAACAAACAAAACACAAGAAGAAAACGCCACACAGTACTGCAGTGAAACCAAGCTGTTGGCTTTTTGCTTCTTCATCCCAACATTGTCCTTCTCCAAGTTTATAATTCACACGAAGCAACGCGCCCTTTTACCTCGATTCGTACATCACAATTGCTACCACGTTGCTTTTGAGGGGGGTAAACCTCTCGGGTAATCACGTGTCTGCGGTACGTACACCTAGCGGGGTCCTCTGCGCAGGCCGCGGAGGTTCCTCCGTGTTTTATGTAAATCTCGTCAACTCAGAGTGCACGGAGATAACTCTGCAAATGGAACAGCGAATAAGCAGCTTTCTCCTCCGAGGAATGTGATCCCCCCCCCCCCATCCCTCCCTCCACTTTCCCCTCCCCCCATTTGCAGCAGGTTCATCTACATCTTTTTTTTTTTTTTTTAATACCCAGTCAGTGATGTCACTTTATTTCTGTGCCACTGATTCCCAGGAGGTACCCATGGCCCGTTTCCAAACCCAGCGTGATTTTCAAAACGTGAATTGAGGTATAGGGTCTAGACTGCTTCGCTCGCTTTACGTCCGGCTGTGCTGACGACCAAATCGTTGAGAAAACAAGCGTGTGTGTGTGTTTCAGCCTTGAGGGACGCGGGGAAAAAAGAAAAAGACCAAATATAACAGACTCAAATGACTCAATACAGTGATTAATATTATACCGCTATTCAGGCGAGATGTGGGTTCAAATCATACGAGCTCAGTGGACATCAGCGACAGTATAAGTATGGTGAAAGATGCACAATACATTTGCGACGTACAGCGCTTTACAGCATGGCCGCGTTGGCAACAAAGCACAGCTAAATGTCGAGTCTGATGCTCCTCCACACGAGGAACATCGGTGGCCATATTTGCCTTGCATAGCCCAGTGATCACTCTGTGATGAAACCATTACAGACGCGCATGAAATCGCCTTTTAAAAGGTTTAGACGAACCCTCCCGACCGACAACCCAAATGAAACGTCTCTCGTCCCCAAGGCAGCGCCAAAGCAGAAATTTAATTGCTCCATTTCTATTGAGAATTTCAGCTTAGGAGACAATTAGAATTAATTGGATGTAGTAGAACAGTTTTAGAACTCTGAAAATGAATTAAGCATTTTTCTTTTATTTTCTTATATTAATTTGAGAAGAAGGGAAAGTTGGGACACAATTGGCCGCCACAGTCGTCAAAGGGCAAAGAGGAAGTATGCGAGGAAGAGGAGAGAAGGTCGGTTTCCCATGTTTTTGGTTTTGGGCCAGAACGTGTTGATCAACACTCAAAAGTCTCGCCCGTCCAACCGTGGAAAACAAAAGCATGACTTTCTTATGGGTTTTATCTCTTTAGGCTTCAGGGTAAGAGATCCTTAATCAACGATGGTGAAAATGAAAGAACGCACAGCTGGATGATTAGAAGAGTAAAAGTACAACCAGTGTAAATAACATCACTGGCTGACCCAAAAAATGCATTTTTATCAGTTTTTCATTTGGAAGTATTTCAGTTTTCTACTGTACAGCGGCCCGTCGCTTCAACCAGCTGGTTACACAATTGGAGAAGTGCATCATGGGAATTGTATTCTCTACCGTATTGGGTTATAATTATCTATGCATTACATTACGGGGAATCAATAGCTTCTGCTCCTGTGGGGATCTTTTCAAGTTAGAAACTGGCCTACATCTGTAGTTACTGGTTGCTCGGCTTGGATGGCACTTTAAAACACTCTGAAGACACTGATGTTTCAAAGTGTCCATGAGGGACAACGTCTGTCTCAATAAAATCCTAAGAGCAGCGGATTATTTCATTATTTTGATCTTATATGTTTATAGCTGTATCACATTATTCTGATTGCTTTCCTTGAATAATTTGGCAACTTGTTGAACAACGGAAATAGATTGCCTTAAAAAAAAGTTATATTATCGTTAATGTAATATAAAGATTTACTTAGTTTGCATCAGTATTTTCTGGAAATGAAAATACAGGGCACGTCTGTGATTGGCACCTGCATTAAACATGAGCAAAATAATTATCAAAGACACAGAATATCAGAAGGTTTCATCTATTAATTATCAGTCATTATTGTTGATTCAAATCAGAAAGGAAATCAAGTGAGGCTCAGAAACACAAGTGTCATTATACTGTTGCACCATTTAAACCGGCAGCCATCTGTTAAACGTCCGTCATTTGAGATTTTGACTCATCGAAGAGTTTTCTAGGTCTCAACAATCAAAGATAGAAAGTTTCAAAGTTGGCAAAGTCATAAAAGGGGTCAAATTCCGCCTGAAATACAGCTACAATATTTAATACCCTCAAAATATCACATCAGATTAAAGGATTTGACGCATGCGGCTAGCATGAAGAATTTTGAAACGCACAAGGCTTTGACCAAAAGAAAAAAGAAAGGCTCACATGGAACTATTGCAATGAATATAGTGACAGTTGTTTGAACCTAAACAAAGAGGGATCAATACGGGGAAAAAGCAAATCCCATACAATATAATGCAATCTAATACCGCACCATCACAAACTGTGGACAAAAAAAAAAATGACCAGAGTTGAATCGGCACCTGTGTGACACAAACTGAACATTATAAACTTCACAAAGGTAGTATTTATTGCTGGGCTATCAGGTTGCACTACAGAACAGTTTTAGATTGCATTAAATTGCATAGATAGTTCTTGTACCTGTAATTAAATAAAAAAACACATAGCTGAAAATCTTCAGCACTGGATACTAGTCATGGGTATTATTCACAGTAAACTAAAATGCCAATATTTGCGTGTAACAGTGAAGACGCAGAGAAGTGAGGAGTGAGTTTTGTGGCTGTAAATAAAAATAAAAAAACACTTACTGAGACTTAATTTAATACCCATTATTGCCACGTTATTCATCGATGCTTAGTGCAAACACTTTGTCAACTACGATCCAACCCGAGTCCTTCTGTCAGCACCAAGTCGACCACAACCGCTGGGTTGATGAAGCTACTACGAGGTAAATATATTACGAGGAAATCGAGAATCTCACAGACCCCTGGTCGCGTTCTTTGATGACGAATATAAGAATATGTCTAACAACTCTCGCCCCTACCCGCCCAGTGCAATTTCACACAATATACAGTACACATATTATATGTAGACCAGTTAGAGACTATTGCTTTAACAGCTGAGAAACAGAAAAAATAAGAAAGAAAGAAACAAAAGCACATTATGTGGCTGCGTAGCCGTACAGTTCTTCAGGACATTTATATTAACATACCTCCAATTTGAGATGAAAATAAGAAACAAAAATCACAGAAGCTTCAGGTGATATAGAGCAATGGGTCTCTGGCTATAACAAGACCTCGGTTGCCTGATTTTTGTACACAGCATCTTTATACACATCACCATGATCCCATGTCAATTAGGTTGATATTCACCCTTTTTAAAACCATTCCAAGTCCCTTTCTCTTTTATGTTTATAACCATTTTAAAGTGTTAAAATTAAATCAGTAGTCCAAGCGTCATCCTGTCACTGTGAGTTGGCACACCACCTTTTATTCTTTTCACGGGCTGTCCCTCTCCTCCCATTGAGTGACGCAGCTGTCTGTCAAACATCTGGCCCGGGGGTCAAGCCTTGGCCTCCAACATCTCGAGGAATAGTTTGTGCATGGGGACTTTCCCCTGCATCTTGATGCCGTAGAAGTGCTGGACGGCCTTGGTGGCGGTCTGCCGGAGCAGAGGCAGGGTCATTAGCAACTTGCCTGCCCGTCGAGGGTCCTCTGGGTGCTGGGAGCCCTCAAAGTCCTGCAGGGCCTCGTGGAGGGAATCCTGCAGCCTCTGGACCGCCTCGATGTTCTCTATATGCATGGAGTCTGCAGCAACAAAGGTGGTGGGAAGGGATGAAGGGAAGAAGATTTTTTTTTTTCTATTAGTTATTTTGAAGCTTCATATTTAATGACAAATGTCTAAAAGAAAGCAAACATCTTCTTTTGATCTCCAGTAGGACAAAAAGATCCACGACAACGAGGTGGTGTTTTGCAGCTGGAATCGGCTGCCTTTAAATTCAGTCTCTGCAAACATGCAATTTTGGAGAGAGGTTTTCTCTTGGTAGTAGTTAATGACGGTCCTTAAATAAATGCCTATGCGTGGCCAGAGCTCTAGGGAGGGAAAAGGAGAGGTACTGTGGGTCTGTATAAATACACCGTGGGACAGGAGAAAAAAAAAAAAGATTCATTTCTTTTGGTATCATGGACCACATACATCCGCCTGCTAATGAATTCAGATGGCTGCATTACCAGGATATCGTTCAGCTGAATGATGGCGGCAGATGGCCTTCATTTCCATAAGAAAGAGCAGTTGGCCCCCTTATGTATAGCCTCTAAAATAAAACCGGTCGAGACTTATTAAAAAACGCTCTCTATGTATAAGTCTTCAAGTCAGGGAATAAAAAAAAAAAAACAGGCTTGTCCTCCAGAGGACAACCTGCCCGAGTTGTATCATCCTAAACATGCTGCGTTACTGACGTTAAACCGAACGCGGGCCGCTGATTGAAGGGAATTAGATCAGCGCCGCTATCTGTCATGAAAGTTGCGGAGTGGAGAAAGGCCGCGTATAAACATGTAAATGAGGCAGAAAAAAAAGGAAAGTACAAGGCTAATTATGTTCCTAACCGACTGATTAAGTCTCTTTTACCAGTCGCCTTCTGTGTAAATTGCGTTTCTATCTTGGGAAATTAACTAGGCTATGTGGACCGCACATGTGTTCCAGCGCTCTTCATTTGAAACCTTCATGTTAATTCTGATCTGATCCTCGTATGGCTGTGGGAGCATATGTGAGAGAAAAAATGTGTGTCAGTGTGTGTGGATGCACAGCGAGAGCGTTTTCATACGTGTGTGTGTGTGTGTGTGTTGAGGGATGTTGGGGGCGGAATGCAAAACTAACTTTGAAGCAACAATTTCCATGTAATCCGTCAGCAGCCTGGCTTCAATCCCATCGATACTCCGCTAATTACAAAATCAATGGCCATGAATTTCCACAGCTGTCACACCCGCAGGACCCCTGGAGCCGAAGCGCTCTCCCCGAGACTGCGTTCAAACGAGCCGAAGCTGCCCTTTCGCCCTCCCTGAGCCTCCCTCTCAACCCCCGGCCTTCCTCTCTCACACGTCTCCCTTACCTTTACATCCCTGTCTTTCCATCACCCCCCCACTCCATTTATCCTCCCCTCTCTCCCACGGAGAGTTTGTCATCAGAAGACTAAAGCTCCGGGCTCAGCATTTTTCATTTTCCAGTCAGGCAGGAGAAAAGACTCCTAACAGGCATTGATTAGCGGGGGGGGGGGAGACACAAGCCCCATGAAAAGCAAACTGTCGATACGGCCGCAGCATCTTCACATTGGAACAAACGAGGCCCGTCGCTCCCCAACGCTCATTCCACTCCACTTAACACATTTTATTGACAGCCCCTGTTTTCCTAATGAAATGCTAAATATATCTCCCTCGGCTGAGGCGCGCTGGCAGCCGCTGTTATGGAGATGGAGAGAAAGAGAGCGCACTGTGACAGTCTCACACACACACACACGTATGTGTGTGAAGTTAAAATATAGATGTACACACGCTCTCCCACACACGAGCGTTGAATTAAACAACCATGCTCTTGACCCTTTTGTCCCCTCTTATCGGGGGCCCTTCAGCGTGGAGGTGATCGGCTCGCCAGATATAAACAACCACGTGCCGTTTTTTTGGTTCTTTTCTTTGTTTGCTTTAATTGAATGCCAACGAGATCTAGACTTATTTAAGATTTAATATAGAGATACAGCTTGCACTACCAAAATAGAGGATGTTCGGCGACTGTTGACGTTACCTTTTAAAGAATATACATTTAAAAGTCAGTTAGATCTTCCTCATGAACCTCGTATTCCAGGTTTCACCGACTTGATTATGTGCAATTCAGATCCATGACTCCATCAATATATTTTTTTTAATGACGGAGAGGGGGAGAGCGGGGGGTTGAAGTCAACTGTACCCGAGTTGGCGAGGGCGATGGCTTTGAGCGTGACGAACTCCTCCTTCTCTATACGCAGCTTCTTGTAGCGTCGGACCAGCGGCAGGATGGCGACGTGCAGGTCCAGCAGGCCCGAGATCCGCGCCTGCTCCTCGTCCACCACGTAGTCCTCCGCGTACACGATCTCGTCCTCGCAGGGCAGCGAGCGAAACACGATGCTCAGCACCAGGATCTCCATCCAGGCGCTCTGCAGAAGGCTCATCTGGTCGGCCAGCGAGAGGGTGGAAAAACCTGTGGAAAAGTTGGAAAAAACTAAAATGTGAGAGTTCGGTTCCAGGCGTCGCTGCACTCGCACTGCACAACCGCGCCAGGAAAACACGAGTTCAACCCATTAACCCTCGCCTGCAATGTGACATCGTGGTCCTTCTGGACGTTTTATGGGCCGTGTGTACAACCCGGTGTAATCCCCGCAGAAGTCCAGCTTGAAACAGAGGCCGATGACTGCATGCGGCGGCTTAAGGGGAGAGTATAAATCAGTCGAGTATGGAGGCCTTTGAAACTTGATCCGAGGGGGCTTCAACCACTGAGGGCTCTGTGCGAGCCACCGCATAAGCACACCGGACACGGCTGTAGGCGAGGGCAAAGCCAGTCCTAAAGCTCACCACATCTTGGAATATTCTTCTTCAAAGCAAGAATTATGGATTCTAAAATTGAACAAATGAAATGGGCTGATAAATGGGGCCTCTGTCGCGTGATTGTTATTTCTGTTGAATGCTGTCCTAATATGAAGCATACATCATTGGACTATAATGCCTTCATCACTTGTATAAAGTTAATCAATTAGTAGTGCAAATGAATACGGGGATTAAAGCTAGGTTCATAATACACGTGAAACCAGAGAGGATTAAACGAGGCGTTTAGGGGATTACGTTTGTTTAATGATGATCTATTGTCCATTTGTTTTGTAAAGTCACAAGAGTAATTCATGACCTTTATAGAAAAAAACCACCGTAATTAAAGACAGATTGCAGAAATCTTTTTGGTAATAAAGCGCAGTTTATTTAAGAAGAGTTGTGTTTGGTCGACATTAATCTGCTCCTTATGTGTGCGTTTTACATCTTTAAACTTATGTCAAAAAATTGCAGGACTTCTCTTTCGATGTACTGCATTATTATTATTGTTATTATTATTGTTATTATCATCAATACAGAGGAACATATTGTATTGTGATCCAGCAAACCGAAACATTTTGCCCCTGATAGACACCTTCTTGATCCTTTTGTCTCTCGGGTTCCACCTTCGGCACCGGAGGAAACAATCCATCCAAGATCTCGAGGTCGACCCGTCAACCCTCCGCCGCGACATTCACGCCCGCCACGTCAAACAGACGGATATCTGAAAGGACCCTCAAGCGCCACAATGCCTTTCACTGCTCCACGGTGAATAGGTGGGTGATTGGGGGCTATTGACCCGCGGGCCTTGAACCCACCACGCTGCTTGCTTGAATCTCAGGGCGGAAACGAGGCGGGTCGACCTAAAGGAGGTCATCCCGACGGTTCTTATCAAGCAAATAGAGAGACGACGGCAGGAGGAAGAGACGGAGAGAGAAAGGAGTACTGGGGGTGTCATTGATTAGTAGATTGTAATCAGTCCACCAAATGCGAAAGGGGGATCGATCCGAGCCTCAGATCTGACAAACAGACAGTTGATGGAGGACATCCGGTACACGTATAGAGGGGGGGGGGTGGAGGGACTACGGGATCGCTGAATGCAGATACTGTACGCTGCATCAGGGATTTACTCCCCAGAGGACAAGAAAAGTAATGGGTTCAATCCCGTAGGGTGTATTCAGAATAATGAGAGAGAAACCATGACTAAAAAATATTACGCGTGTGGACAATGTGAGAATTAAAAGAAATCAGAGCAATGATTCAGACAATTGAGGCACCATCCCTTTTTTCTTAAACATTTGATAAAATAAGCATCACCCTCTTTAGCTGTCTCCTCTTTCTACTCAATTTACTGGAGCAATGGAGTGACTTTCTGGCCCCCCGAGGGGGCAGGTGGGAGGTCGCCCCGGAGCGCCTTGCGTGTTGCATGCAAGTGGCTCAGTCAAGTGTCGCTGTGGAAGGCGACTGCCCCTGATGAAATATCAATATTTCACCCGTTTGACCAAACATGACACAATATTGAGCAAACTAGGAGATGTTCAAGTCTCCATCTCTGCAGTTGTGTCCCATCGTGATGAGAAAAGTATGAACTGAGGCTTCTACTGCACTGTGAACTGTGTTAGCATCTACTATGCTGCCCTAAAAACACAAGACCAGTAAAAGAGAAATTAAGGAAAAAACACGCTGGCGCAGAAATGAGACCATGCAAGATACTCAAAATTGCAGATACTGCACATTGTCGTTGGATGAAATCCAACTCTAAATCAATCTGGAGTTTACTGATCCATTTAAAGGCAACACAAACACACCACATTGTGTCGATTTACTGGAGTAAGAAGCTGAAATGAGTTTTGGAGACCGCCGAGCTACGCTGGTTACCTCGAGCTAGCTGGGATTATCTGTGGCGAATGCCTTATGTGGTTATGCAGTTTAACAAACTAATAATCCCAAAATTGGTTCCAAAAAAATTTAGAGGTAATAAATAAATTTACCTTCAGCAAAGGCTGCTGTAATTATTAATACTTTACATGCTGCTTTTAAAAAAACACAAATTTTAAATGGGATGAGTCTCTTACTTCTATGGAAGCAGATATTCAAGTAATTAGCTTATAATAAACAAACATAAAATATAGTTTTAAAGATGTTGATGCATTTTTACTATCACTAAAATAATATGTATTGTGGAAATGTTCCGATTATGATTTCTTATATAACTATTCTAATCCTAGTGTAGCACTCGGCGCTCTCGCGTTCATCCAAGAAAAAATCCTGGTAGCTGAAAAGTGAAAATGTCTAAATTAACTTGACTAATGTGCAAACATCAGACCTTAACCAAAGCGTTTTTTATTGCCGAACCCCGACCACAAGAGGCACTCGGTATTGCAAACACGCGTCTCGAGTGTCAAAGTCCATTTCGCCTTGCTAGCACTGAAACTAGCGACGCTGGATCAAGTCTGCTCACTCGGACCGCAGAGTCGCACTGAGCCGCCGCAGCAAAGGATCCAACAGCATGTTGTGCGCCTGTTTCTCTAAAGGGATCAGCTAACCGTGGGACGCTAGTGATCGTTTTCAGAAAAGAAGAGTGCTTTTGGCTCTGCAACATGCACAGTGGAGGTACAGATGCGATAAGTAATTGAATCCCTATTCCGCGCAATGAAGAGGCCGAGCGGTTGGCAGTGAAGCTTGAAGCTGTCATTGAGAGCTAGGTCTAAAACAGACAGCAGTTCACTCTCTATTCATTTAGTATCATTACAGGCCTCCTAAGAGCCCTAATGGGCCTAATAAAAAGACAGAGGTAATAATGAGACTAGAGGGCCCTGTGTGAGCCGGAGGAGCAGGAGGGAGGGGGCAAGGGAACAAGAGAACAAGGAAGCCAGCGAGTGCGCGTGAAAGATATGATAGTAGTGAGAGGGAGAGAATAAAGAGGAAGAAAGCGATCCCGAACCGTCTGAACATTAAATACCGGGGCGCCGAATGCCGTTGCCAGGGATATAAATCGACACATGTTGTGTGCACTTAGATGTGTGAGATTGTGTGTGTGTGTGTGCGTGTGTTAACAGCTGCACAAACGATTGGCCACCTCTGACCTCCTGACAACCGCGGCGCAATTCTGTTTCCATTTTCATGACAGTTTGTGCGACAGCCAATCAAACGCCGGCCTGGTTACGAGTTCAACTCAGAGGAAACCCACGTCTCTTGTGCTTCAAAAGCTTCTGATCTAAGTATTCGCTTTTATATTCCGAGTACTCGTTGCACTGTGAACTAAGTTGCCGTTGACGTCTGACTGTTTGCCACAAATAATTGATATCTACAAAACGACAACATGCGCCGGAAAACATGCACATGAAAGGTTGCGTGTTTCCTCTCCACGTTTGGATGTTGAAGGACTTTTACATTAACGGGGCGATTTGCAGTAATGACTCTTATTACCTCGTCGTTAAGGCCATTTGCGCAGTGGGCTATGAGTGTAATGGCGGGAGTGGACTGTTAAACTGTGGGGACCCCTTTTGTCTTAATCGTTACTTGGTGACACTCTGACCCGGTGGCTGCGGGTAAAACGTCCCCAGAGTGTCACGTGCCCCTTTAAGAACTCCGCCAGGTGTGGATTTGGATCTACGCGGCATCCAAGATCAATAATTCCGCATTAGAAAATGTAAATGAAAAATATGACGGCTGGATTCACTTCTGCACCTCGGCCGCTGATGTATGTTTAGAATTTGATTGTGAATCATCCTCTGGAGAATAATCGTAATAATTATTGGTTTGAACACATTGGTTCCAGATTCTTAAGAGTGTGAGGATTTTTGTTTATGCTTTTCAGTATAAATTAAAGAATTGGCATTTTTTTGCAGCGGTACTACAATGCATTACAGTGTTTAATTGGTTGTTTCTAATTTGAGTGCAACCTGTGCTCGCAATAAACAACCTGGAGCACAAAGTGTCCGTTTCAACAGAGAGAGATAAACGGAAAAGAAGATCCTTCGGACATTTTGCATAACAAGACTTATTTAAGAATTTGTCAACACGGAAGCAGCTAAATCAATCACTATTTCCCTAAATAAATCAATTTTACTGTGTACCCTGCTTAAGTAAGTAAGAGGATTGCCTTCCTTAAGTCTGGGATTGAAATGGAATACATTGACACAGGGGCGGATCTCCCCCCCCCCCCAGACTCTCACACCCCACCCAGTCAAATCACAGGTTTCAGCTGCTCTTTATTGATTAGATTTTAGAATATGGGACCAACTTCTTCCTTAGGTGCACATGAGTAGCAGATGTTAATTATTCTCTGTTTGTGTGTGTGTGTGTGTGTGTGGGGGGGCAGTCGGTGAACTACTTGAGCATTCGTTCCAGCAAATTAAAGTACAAATGTGTGTTTACTTTTCTTACTTTACCAGCAACATATAATCTATGAATCACCATTTAGTGAACGAAAAGCTCACTAATCACCACATTCTAAAAACACTTTTTAAAGTTTACTTAAAACAACTAGGACGATAATTCTCGGTCTCCTTATTGGTCATTCATTTATTTGTCTATAAAAATGAAACACTATTTTGTATTTCGTTTTCATCAATTGGAGTGCCTGAAATGGTTGAATCGAGAAATGATTATGATCCGAGAAACCCCGTCATTCCTCTACCTGGGATGTGTTTTGCCCAGCCGATGATGACCACCAGCTCGCGGTCGGCCAGGTCGCACAGCGTGGTCAGGGCCTTGATGTCTCCGTCGGGCATGGTGGGGTCCGGCATGGCGTAGATCTTCTCCGGCTCCACCACCAGCAGATGGGAAACGATCTTCGTCACTGAAAAACGGACGCAGGGAGCGAGAGAGAGAGCGAGAGAGAGAGCGAGAGAGAGAGAGAGCGAGAGATGTAACGTTAAGTGCTGTGAGACGGTTTTAGGTGACAGCATATACAGTAAAAAAATAAAAAGGAAGGAATTATACTGGGGCAGAGACATAATAAAAATAGTATGAATAAATAATACATCTAGTGATAGTCTAGTATATCATAATAAACGGTGCAGCTTGGCCTGGTTATCAACACTAGCATGGATGACCACATATTCCGTCCCCATGACAACGAAAAATCAAAATGAATACATTTCTTATTACGGCCCTCAAAGTCCCAACATGTCTACAAACAAAATTGCTGCTTTGACATAAAAGGCAAAGTTTTTTCTGCATTGCTAAACTTCCGGCCAAATGGGCAACAATAAACTGTGTGAGATGTAAAAAAACAAAAAGCACAAACTGTGCGACTCACGTGGCTTTTTGGCAGGAGGGGGGATGCCGAGGCCGAGGTAGGCGCTGTTCTCCGCGTCCAACCTCCGTTTGTACTTCTGTCTCCCACCTCTCACCCGGTCCAGACGCACACCTGCAAAAAAACACACACACACGCACACACACACACAGGCGTGAAGAACATGGCAGCTAAACCAAACCAATTTTAGAGCCAATTTTCTTGCAGTTAAATAATCTACTTTAGCTACAACTACTTCTAATGAAGACACATCGCATATATTTTGCTGAGTCATACATCTCGAGCATCAGCTTCCCACAGCAGCCCACTGCTGCGAAAATCCCTGGAAGGCAGAGATCAGATTTGATCATTTTAACCATCAATACATTCATTATGAAACTGAGAACTACTTCTAGAGTAGCACATACAGCTGCAGCCAGAAATAGTTACAGCTTCAGAATGTATTGCTAACTGGAAAACCAAGCACGTCGAGGAGGACTTTTACTTTAAAATAATGCCGCTACTCCTGTATAATAACACGTTTTGTTCCTTTTTACTGGAATAGTTCAATACCTCCTTGTTGCGGATGAAAGTGCAGAAACCTAATTAATATACAAATGGACCATCTGGGATTATCTCTGCGGCCACCTCAGAGGACACATGTGATGCCTCGTGCGGGGGTTTACACCCTTGTATTAAAAGTTGTTTGGGCATCGAGGGAGAGCAAACACATTTTACGTGGTCAAGCGGAATTGAGTCGTGCGAGATCTCCCAGTGACTCGCAGAAATCCCTTTGACTCCCCTGGAAACAAAAGAATCCGATTAGGATGGTCTTTCAATTTCCTGACACCGACTATCCACTAACCTAATTACCCGCCGTGCCCAGAGGGAGCTCATTCTTCCCAGCAAACACAGTGAGATCATTTTATGCCTGGCAGATTGAAGCTAAATCGAGAGCCCCTCTCCTAACACAGCTTTCCATTTGTACGCCTTAAAGTAATCAATAAGGCTTGCAAATAGACTTCTCGTTCTTTGAACACATGCGGATGTGGTTTTAATTAGCCGGTTAGGATGCTTGGATCTCCGTTTGCGACAGATGGAGCTTCAGCAGTCGTTGCAACCATTACTCTTGGTTAAGGTAAATTTAAAATGATAGATTGTGCTTCAGGGAACAGTGTGCGTGTACTCCTGATATGAAATCAAGTCAATAGCTTCTCTCTATTTAATGACGCGCGCACGCACACGCACACACACACACACACACACACACACAGGCCTAATAAAAAGGGATACGAGTTTCACAACAATCAACTTGTGTGATGCAAAAATCTATTTAAACGGTTTAAACCTCAAATTCATAAACAATAGACTTGTCAGACTAAGTTGTTGCTGCTTTTTGTACTTGACATGTACTACCACCCTCACATGCATGCACACAGAACACACACACACGGTTTTCCCCGCCGTAGCGTCATGTGGCTGCGACGAGTGACAAGCGACCAAACAGCCGGAGTTAGAATTCCAAAATCCGCGGGGGCCGTTTGAACTGGAACATCCAACCGGCCCATAATTAATAGACGCTGACAAGAATTAAGAGCTCAGCGCTAACCGGTTTCGGGCTACAGCTTAGCGGCGCTGCAGACCCGGGGCAGGAGGTGCAGAGAGGACGACAGAAAGGAGGAAAAGGGCTGGTGAGGTGGTGTTGAGGAACGGGGGGGGAATAAGACGGAACAAGCGGCTGTTTTTGGCCGAATGTATCGGTTTTCTGCAAGATCACCGTTTTCCTTTCTCTCGCTTTTCCCTTCAGTCTCTTTTTGCCGTCAGGCATCGGGTGTACATCTCCCTCCCTGACATCTAGGCCCGTCCCAGGCCAGAGCCTGATCCAACCGGTGCGGGATTATCTCCTCCCCATGTGATACAGCACAGTACTGAGAATCTGACCACAACAAGACAGCTGGATGAGGCCCCTCGCGGTGGGGGGGGGTCGTCGGCACCACATTCCACACCTCGGGCCCAAAACCACAGCGGCCTCCACGCTCCAAGACAATCAGAAGAAGTCGTGTCTGTTGGAAAGCATCCAGATCTTTTCATTTTTACTTTTTACTCATGCCGGCCTTTAAAAAAATAAAAGAAAGTGTGGCAGCCAAAGTATGGATGCCGGGGCGAGGCTGGAGGGAACGGGAGGTGCTGCGTGCTGAATGTTACGACCTCGGTAAGATCACACGGTGCAGTACACCGCGTCCATAAGAGACGTGCTGAGACACAAAGACACTGGTTGGCAGTCCATCCTTGCTCAACATGTTCATGTGTGTGGAAAGACGCAGAGGCATGTTTGCAAACGAGCAATCTTTACGGCCACCTGACCGCGGCTTCCCTTTCACATTCAATATCTTTATTGACTGGTGCAACCGTAAAGCACGTTCCCGATTGAAGTGCCTGCGTTTTTCCTTTATGTGGCGACCGCCGGGCATGTGGATTTACTTCATTCTTTTAATGTTTTTATCACTCACACACTATTTGGATCTCTACTCTTTCCAACAACGTAGTAACCATGCCTCCATTTATTACCATATAAAAAGTAGAAAATAAATTGAAAAGCATACAAACAAAATTGTAGTGAGCATTTTTGGTATAATTAATTCCATACAAACGGCAAAAGAAAAGTCTAAATATTTTTAAACTGTTTATTTATTCAGTTAATTGTAATTACACTCCCTATAAATCTCATAAAAGTGCACCTTCTCCGCGGTACCAGCAACAAAGTGATTGAGGGCAAGTCATGAATCATTAAAACATTTCTCATGTTGAGATTAAATATACTTAAATTACAGTACAAAATACCCACCATGTGTATGTTTTTTTTTAAATTATAGCACTCCCAACTTCTGCCTTACTGACCAAGAGACGCTGTACAGCACGCTGTATGAAAACTAGAAAATCCAGAACAAATCAAACTAAATTATAAAGGTAATTAATAATAATAATTATGCATCAAATGATGAATGAATAATAAACAGTATAAAAAAATAATAGGGGTCCTGAACCAAATGATTCCTTCGTACTCTGCAGAAGAAGCTGTACGGCCAACAGATTTGTGTGCGTTGTGTACTACATTATACGATGGGAACACGTGCTCGCGCGTTTGTGTGTCTCACGCAACTATTCTCGGACGCTCACCTGTCAGCGGCGCTTCTTTCTAGAGAATGTGTCAGAATTGGCTGGCTGGCTAACGCTGCCAAAGAGAGATTAGGAGCTCCCTATTTTAGCTGGGAAAAATCAGAGGGACGCAGTGTGTGCCCCCCCCCCCCCACATGCCCCCGGGGGGGGGGGGGGCCTTGCCCTTCCACGGCTACTTCTGAAGACGTCCGGCAGCTTTTGTGCAGCAGGAGAGGGAGGGCCGAGGTGGTAGTTGGTGGAGGGGGGGGGGGTTTGGAGATGGCGTCCCACCTGCTCTAGCCCCCAATGGGCTGACGAGACAAAGCAGGAGTAACCACACACGCACACACACACACACACACACACACCCCGGCATGGCTCTCTTCATCATGTTTTACACTGTTCATTAATGTGAGCCGGCGCGTCGGCATTGACCACAGGTGGAGGCCCGGGGCCGACTCGGGACCCCGCGCGCTGCAGGTGTTTGCACAACTTGTTGCGTGTCGGAGCGGACAGAGCAGAGAAAAAATACACAGCGAGAGAACGTGGACCTTTAAGGTTCGATCCCGGGTGACATACATGTCGTACTTGACCGCAGGCACTCGGCTAAATCCCCTCCTTCAGAGGAACACGTGTTACCCTCCGTGTTTGATCTATCACCTGCCAGGCGGCGAGGACAGGCCGGCGTGGAGCCCCTGGGTGGGCGCTGACACTCAGCTGAAGCCCCCCCCACCCCCCCATCTGACATGTGTTGTTAGACAGACAAGTTTACGGTACAAGTAGGAAATCAAGGGGTCGGAGGGCCCTCCGTCTTTACAATGGAGCTGCCTTGTATACATGACGGTGAGCAATAAACCTGCAATTTCATCAGTTTTTTCCTCGTCTCCTGTTCAAATGCTCAAAAGGCCCCCACACAGTCTATATCTTTATTTTGATGATGTAATCTTAGTGTATAGATTGGTTTTTGATCCAAGCCTATTGATTGGAAAAGGGACCTGACAGTCCGTGTTATTGGATATGGCTCTACTAATCTTTTGTGTATGGGGCTGGAGGAAAATAAGGCTGTAACGTTATCCTGGTGGCCACGTTCGCTAAGGAAAGACTGCTGATCCCTATCTGTGGTCGGGCGAGGGCGAGACAGCGGTGTCGGTTGCCAAAATAGCCTGGCAGCTTGTATTTATTCACCACATTACAGCGGTGTCAGAAAATCCCCACAAGCAGAGAATACACCGAGCTATCATCACCGAGGCGGCCAAGCAGGGACTTCAGCAAAAATATTCATTCATGGCTGAAAACTCAGTGTCGTGCACTTCCTGTTCAACAGGAGATATATATTTTTTTAAACATGCCAATGGGATTTCTTGAAAAAAAAAGAAGATACCAGGACGGCCTCACACCGCAAAAAACAAAACGGGATTTCAGTCCAGAATATTCTTGCATCATTTAACGGCATACAGTAATGCCACTGGGTCATTAGCTCTGCTATTAGCCGCGGCCGCTGACTCCTGGCAGTAGCGACTGACACCATGCCTTCCGCGGGTTGTAATTATGTGAGAACTTTTTCCATTGGACGTGTGACCTTTTCTCAGCCTCAGCCGGACATTTGGGGGGGGTCAGTGAAATGGACGTTACCTTCCAGCGAGCCCATCCGAGCGCTCTGCTGAGGCGCAGACTTGTCTGTCAAAGCCTAACCGGCATAATGTCCACACACACACACACACAGACTTGTTTTGCTCAGTGTGTTGAGCTGCTAACTGCAGGACACTCGAGTTGTTCGGGGCTCCTGAAGCCACCAAACTGGGCTTCGTAGCTCAAGACGGCTGATTAGCGGCAGGTGTTTAGGCTCCCATTGGCCACCAACGGTGCTGGTCTATAACCGTAGCAGCTGGCCCTATAATTCAAGATGGCATGCTTAGAGCAGAGCTTACAGGGTCCTGGTGGAAATATTAAGACACTTTTAGAACGACTGATCTCATAAGTTCTCTCAACATCTTCCCGCGGAGAGAAGCATTTCTCGGGACACTGCATCACGGAGACAAGTACAACTTTGGGACGCCGCGAGGAAGGGAATTTTGTAACGTGAGCAGCAATCATTCACAAGGATACAACACTTGGTCAATATCTGTCTGCTGGTAGCGGCAGAATAGAATATCTCAAAATAGAATGAGAGGTTTACAATAAAACATGTGGTGGTAAGTTTCCTCCTCACATGATGCCTGCATTCATATTACACTGTGTGATTATTCCTTTTCCATGACCAGCCCCCTTGGCCACTTGTTACACGGTGATCTCATTACATGAAGTAGGGCAAGCCGCTGTCCCCCACTGATTCCACGATGAAAGCCCCCCCCCAACCCCCCCCCCGTCTGTGAGAGGCCACACCACGGCAGTATGCCACAATTAAATGCCCATTTTCCTTTTAATTGAACGCCATCACTTTCAGAGAATCGCCCACTGTGCCGACTTGTCGCGGCGGCTGTGATGCCGCGTCTCAAGAGCAGCAGGCGGCCGAGGCTACAGATTCCCCCGTCTCACGCTCACGCGCGCGCGCGCACACACACACACACACACACACACACACACACACACACACACACACACACACACACACACACACACACACACACACACACACACACACACATCAACAGCTTAGCTTGGCCCGCCACAGACGACACCCCACCGTTTTTCACCTAAGCATGCGCTAATAGTTGCAGCTTTATTTCTGAAGCAACTTTGTTGCTTCTGGCTGAGAGTCAAAGCCTCGTGTGTGAGATATTTGGGCCGGGATGAAGACATCAAGAGCGGGGACATTTATAAATAGTGATGTAATGGCAATACAATGGTTGACCCTCCACTGCGAGATGAACGGGCACAGCCACCTCGGTTGTTTCAGTGGAAGTGAAGCGAGAGCCTGACAAATAATCTCCTGCTACCACCTCAGACTGGAGGTGGCTGCTGCCGGCAGAAGGCAACACAACTGTATGACCTGGGTTTATTTAAGGACATTTATGATTTGTTGTGTGTCCAAGTTCAGTCTATGAACAAATGATTAAATAAATACTTGTTAGAGACTTGGTACTTTGGAGGGATATATATGGTTGTATAACCTATATATATATATAGGTTATACAACCGGGGTGGATGGTCGAGGGATAAAATCAAAAACTTAACCTGGTTAAATCAGTCTTCAAATTGTATTTAATGGAGTCTAATGCTCATTTTCAACTGAATAAGCATTGAAAACAAAAAAAGGATTTAAGAAATAACCAAATATGCTTTGCTTGTATTCGGTTCCTTCATTAGTTTCACAGTTATATTGCCACAATAAAGAGTTCTGCATTGAAAAAGTTATGCAGTAAGCTTCTTTTTTAAGCACGAGTCCAACATTGCAAACGAAGAGTATTTGATCCGTGCTCTTCTTTTGTTTTGCGACTTGACCATCGTTGACGACGCACTGCGGACTAGTTTTTAACATATTCTACGCATCGGTGTGGAACGTCTCTTCAAGCCAAACACATAGACGTAAAAAACAAAACAAAAAATGTCTTTAAAAGAAAAATCTATGGGCTAGATTTTCCATCTGTACTCCCGAAGGTCCCTCTCTGGAGGAGAAACAACACATGCAGGAAGTGGGGTGGGATGTTCGGAAAGCATTTAGCGGATCAATATAGTCTGAGCGAGAGACGGGAAGGGAGACAGACAACCAGAGAGGGGGAGAGAGAGGTTGAGAGACACCCCGGCCCCAGGGGAGAAGGGAGTCTTTTGGGAACGGCCTGTGCTTTTCAGGAGTACTGTTACACTTCTCAGTCAGTCTTGGTAAGAACATCCAACTCAGCAGCTTTTCGCACCCGTCTGTTTAACAGCGAGAGGCTTGTCGGCGTGAGGGGGGGGAGGGGGGGGGGTAAAGGTTGTGTGGGTGATGTCACTGGTGTTTCCCGGAGACCACAGACATCTTTGATCGCGGACGCTTCCTCGAGCCCCAACGAGGGCCGCTTGGACAACATTAGAATCCGTGACAGGAGACGAGCTGCTTTTCTTTAAAATGTAACTTTGGATTTCTTCATTCATTTGTCGAAACCTTTTTAATGGCTCTTTGTAAGCTGAAACATGCCAATGTTTTAGGTTGGTCACAAAATCAGCATTTCAAGAAGTTTAAAAAAAGATGGCTTTTTGGTCCATGCAGCTTAAATCTTTAAATTATAGCAAAACTTTAAGACAACGATTTTTCTTGTGCAATTATCACTTTTTTCTGAAATTGTTGAGACCAATGAGCCGTGTTTAAAATCTCACCAGTTTGCAGCAAAAATTAATTCAATATAAAGCTTTACAAAATTGGACAAACGCTGGTTTTCCAGGGTGAATTGTTGAAATAGATTAAAATCATTGGATTGATATAAGAGATATAGGAGAGAAAAGCAATGCTACTGTACACTTAAGCTGTGAACCGATATATTTTTTAATTTAATTTTATTCTTGATATTCTTAACAGCTGTCTGTCCCTTGTTAGTTTGTTTCTGTCGGTCTTGAATCATATCTGAAGTGTAAGAATAAATCAAACGGCCAAGAAAAAAAAAAAAATCCGTACTCACCTTCTTTCAACATGCCGACTTTAAGACACTTCATGAAGCGGCAGGCCTGGCACGACTTGCGTCTCCTTTTGGTGATCTCACATTCATTCGTGGCCGGACAGCTGTACTCAATATTCCCTGCAGGCAATTAGAAAAGCGTGGCGTCATTAATTCAGTCGCTGATTAGGAGGAGTTTTAGAATTATTGGATGGGCAGGTAGAAATCAGACACAGCAACAAAAAGGCATGTGTGCACACGGAAACATGCGCACACCTGTCCCAAGGTGACCCAGCGTGACACTCCTGAAGGGGAGGAGGGCTCATTGGCATTTTGATGGGACAAAAAAAAAAAAAAAAAAAAAGCACCTTCCCCGCCCTGCAGTCCCGCCCCCACTTTGATTCTCAAATAAATGAGCTTCATTAATGCAGAGCGACCACTTTTCAGCCCATCACTCTTCACGGAAAGCATGATGGGAAAAGACGTCCTCCCTCGAGCAACGCCAGGGCCGAGCGCTCTGCGCGATGCTCCCCGGGGAAAGAAAACAGATCGACAAGGATCCCATAGCATGTGGCAAAGCTCGATGTAGTATTAATGTCAGTCTTGACGTCACTATTAAAATATTTCCCATGCAATTGAATCACTCTGGTCCCCCCACAAAAAAAAGCCAGCGATGCACGCATATCAAATCTGCTGCTGCCTTTTCTTCTCGTTAGCTTCTTCAAAAGTGGACGTGACCCCAAGAATCTAATGATGAGTGATCTTTCTCGGGTGTCCGAGTCCCCCGATTGAGGGTTTGAAAGCACGCCGCACAAGTCCAGAGACGGTGCCTTAAAAACCGTGTAGACCGTGTAGAGCAGTTCTGCCGGAGCAGAACTGCTCTACACACAAACACACACTCACATGTACACAATCCCCTGTTGGTGAAGGAGAAGGTGCCAACATTTGTCAGGATCCTGGCATGGATGATGCCAGCGGGGTCACATGCACAGCGGGGGGCCGGGGCAGCGTGCCAGCGCTGGCAGAGGCCGCTGCCGGTTTCAGGGTTAGGGTTAAGTCCTCTGCACACTGAATACAGCGTAGAGCGCAGCGCTCATGTGCAGAGGCACAGAATGTGCAACGTGTCTACACTACAAACTCATTTCATCCAACGTGTTCTCTGTACCGTCGTATTCTGCAGTTTGCGCAGTTAAAACGGTTCCCAATGAATTACTGCGACTAATTCTAAACACGGTGGGAATAATGTTCGGAAAAAGTCCATTATTAAAGTAAACATTTTATACCAGAATGGTTTGAAAAATAACCTTCGCGTGGGCCAAAGATGATGTGTGTGTGTGTGAGAGGGGGACGGCTTGCATTAAGCTTCCACAATAGTCTGAAATTGCCTCCCTCTAAAAGCTCACTGTCGGCATACCCTCTTAGTTAATCAGGTCCTCTGTCCACCTTTATTTCTCAAAGGACATTTCAGCCACTCTAATATCCTTCCTTAACCTCTCTTATTTTCCCTCTAAATTTTGATATATTATTATGCCATGCTATTATCCACGCACTCATCTCCACTCAAGCCGGACCTCTCCTTGTCCTCCTCCTTTACCGAGGCCGGGACCCCCCCTTCCTGATTACCATTCCATTAAAGCGGCTTCTCCTTTCAGCGAGTCCACCATGTCCCCCCCGTCCCTTGTCCCTTGTGCATTTTATTTGGAGGACTCCTCGGCGTGAGCTCTCCTCTCTACCCGTCCTCTGTTATTGCCCCGCTTAACACGTGGCGGCTGTGTGGCTGGAGGACTCCGGGGGCAAAGAACAACAAATCCTCTCTCGACTTTCTCCCGGTGAAATGCCTGGTTCTTAATTACAGTCACCCAACGCTGATTGTTATTGACTGAAAGTCCCGCGGCTCAGGACGAACGACGGACAGATTAGGTTCATTATGGGTCTGTCCTCCACGAAGGAGAGCGCGAGGAAGAAGAGGAAGAAGAAGAGGGGGGGGGGGGGAGGGGGGTCCTTGGACAACACAAAGTCAAGCATCAACGCTGAGAGTCCTTTACTGTGTTGCTGGCCAGACGGAGACGCACAAAATATTTTTATTTTATACAAACGTTTTAAATGGCACATATTAATTTGTCACTCTTCAAATTCTCTCCCTCTCACTTTAATGTTGCTACATCGAGTAGCTTAAATCATGCGGAATAAAAAGTGACAAATGTTCACAAAGAGGCTTCAGGATGGATCTTCAGAAACGCGTTCAAATGGATCAAATTTCCCTCCACCTGCTGCCCGGCTCATTGACCAAAGAGTTACAACAAATCCTTCAAAGTAAAATGAAATCCTAAATTCGGGCCTCTCCGCACATTAACTTTGTCCAAGTGATTTTTTTTGAAAAAGCAGAATCGATGCCAGATGCACCGATTCATATGAAAAGGTTATAAAATAACTAAAAGAATCACAACCCAGTGCAGATTTACAGTGTGGGCCTCATGCCTGCTGTAGACGCTCGCTCGACAAAAGCATTTAGAGACTCCCCAGGTGTGACGAGCTCGAAAGAAGAAGTGGGGAAAATACCTTGTATCGTCCTTTTGAAGAAGGCCTTGCAGGCCTCGCAGGACGCCACCCCGTAGTGGTACCCCGAGGCAACGTCGCCACACACCAGGCACAGCCTCTTGGGGATGGCATTGAGCATGTACTCGCACTTGATCGGCGAGTCGTCCGCCACCACGCCGGCGCATTCCTCGTAGCGGCGCAGGCAGGCGGCGCCCCCTCCCAGCATGCCCGGGTTGAACATTGGCGGGGAGTCCAAGGCGTGCGAGTGTCTGCCGCCGCCGTTAACGTAGCCGCCGCTGGCGTCGGAGTTGCCGCTGGGACTGTGGTGACTGCCGGTGTCGACCAGCGAGGAGGACGGGCTGGAGGGCTCGGTTTTGACGTAAGAACCACAGCTGGAGGATAAGTGCCGGTCCTGAGAGGGCATTCTGGTTAGCAACCTGCATAAACACACAACATGGGAGGGCCGAGGTCAGTTTAGGACTCATTCACAGGAAAGCCAAATCAGAAGTAGAAAAGAAACAACGCGTTTCATTTGCATGGACTCGGCCATGGATCAGCTAATCTTCCAATTAATGAAAACCAGGCTTCCGAGCACCATCAACGATACGCAGAAAGGGGCCTTTTCACCTCACATGCACGTAAATATACGTCCGAAAACTGCAGCATCGGGGGAAATTATCAGCACTAACAAGTTTGACAAGATGCACATAGCGGTGCTTTCCTTCCATCATCTCCTGATCGCTCTGCCCGAGATTCGTCGGCTGTGATGGAGCACGCCGCTCCGTCTGAGTTTGATAGATTGTGTTACACGCGCAACCATTTATGTGCTGGAATGCCAAGTGATCTACTACAGCGGCTTCTTTCTCCCAGGCGAAACGGTAACTAACGACCATATCAACAGATGCCCCATACATCTTGAGAACAATGCCCGCAAATTGGTCGTCTGCCAGAGGTAAATGAATGAATGAAACTTCAGAAGGCTTTTAATGGACACAGAGAGGTGTTACACTCAGCATATGGAGAATCATGGGTAATACATGACCCAATCAATAGTCCCGGTTAGTTTGCCAAAGGACGGTGCCGGGTTACGGTGGACCCGAGTGAGAGGCTGGAGAGGCTGAGGAAGAGGCCCTGACCTGGGATTAGGTTCCCTGATCCGAAATTTCATTACAAAATTTTGAAAAAAAAAGGCTTATTGACAAGAGGCAACGGTTTCAGTAGCAGGATTTCCACCAAATACAGTCGGATGATCTGAAACAAAAAGGTTTATGGAGGATCGCACTGATGCAGGTCTTGCTAAAGAACGTTGGATTTTATTTGTAGTGCTTATTGTTCAACAAGAGGAAATGACCTCAATTATTTTTCCTGACCACTACCCCGTATAGTTTTATTTTATTAAGATTTAGATTCCAATACCTGAATATTCTTAATATTTAAGATAAGATAATTGAACTATTATGCCATTAACATTGAGTCTGTGGCATTTAGCTGTCTCAAAATGACGATATATTGCTTATCACAATTATTTCTGAGACAAAATACATATATATAGTCCAGAAACATTTTTGAGATGAGCATCCTGCTATTGTTGCACAATTTTTTATTTTCAAGCCCTCTGAGTGTTAAATTGCTGTCGCTTCAGAAACCTCCTCTCAAACAAAGCATGAAATGAGGCCTGGATCCCAGTCAGGGCCGCTGGCTCAGTCTGTCACAGTCTGCTCTTACACAACTTGTGCCCTACAAGCTCGGGAGTTGTAAATACTGGGTGAGAAGCCACGTTAAGCACGTCTGAAACTAACAGGAAGTTAATGGGGACCAGATTCCGTTGAACTTGTTGCCTATTTGCTGCGAAGGGCCTGCCCCGTTTTTCTAATTCGGTATTGTGGTTGGTAAAGTATTTTCCCTCCGTGCACAAGTGTATTATATATAAAGCCATGAAGTCATCCGGCACAGACAACATGAAACCTCTCTTTTAACGGGTGGAGGGAGGAGGAGGAGGAGGAGGAGATAGCCTCTTACCCCCGGGCTGAGATCAGATCTATTGATCCTCTGCTTCCTTCCTGTTGCAGATGAGGCATGAAAAAATAAACCCTCCTCTTTCGGGTCCCAGACGTTCCTTATGCATTTTTAATCAGTCAAGACTGTTGACATAGTGAGAGATGGAGCGATACATAACGTTAGTCTTCACTGACGAGGCCGTTGTGGTTTATAAAAGATGCACGTGCTCGTGTTAAATATCGTCGGCAAACAGCATGAATTCATACTCGGTAGGAAGGAATATTTTCTCCCATCTGAGGGAATTGTGGAAAGCGGCGTTGCAACAGTTAATACATCACCGCAGCCAGATAGGGGGATTCCCTGTGGAATGGTACATTGTGGCATATGTAAAAAGTAGTTCACTCCCCACTTAGCACACAGCAACGCTGGGGAGATGTTTTTTGTTAAGTTTAATGGAAATTTCTAATGGGCCCCTTCAGATCTGTCGAAATGAAATAATGGCACGAACCACCAATTCCTGCAGACAGAAATAGCTGCATAGTTTCGTAATTTGGTTTCTTCTCCTTATTATAAAAAGACAGACAGTTTCTAAGCGCAGCCTGACTCTCCTCAATCCACCCCGCTCCCTTTACACAACACACACACACACACACGCGCACGCATTGTGCCTAATTTCTAATGGGGTAATGTTTGCTCCACCGCGCAGAAAAATGGTACAAACGGAGCAGACGAGCAGGACTCATCGGACGGACGTGAAGGTCACCTGGCTTCAGTGCGCTGCCGTTCGCTGAGGCCCAGACGGTCCCAGAGTGGACGCCTCGGAGCGGCGGAGACACGGTGTGTCCAGCGCGCTGAATGACACTCCACCAGAGAGCTGTCCACAGTTGTTAAACAGGACCAAGACGCTGCTCAAAAGGCTGCGAGCGCCCAGATCAGTGACCCGGTTTTCTGTCGTTTTTATTTTCATTTTGGAGCCGACGTGTGATGGGTGTGAACATGTCCCGCCAGAACAGACTAAAATCTCAAATATGTGTATGTGTGTGTGTGTGTGTGTGTATTTTGGCACGTCTCCTCATATTGGCAGTGTTGCAGATCCCTTGCTTCCCTGCATGGATCCTGGATCCATCCACCTCTCCTCTAAACCCTGAGTTAGGTTTGCTCGACATCTGAATTTCTGCACAAGAAATGTTTTATCAGCAGTCAAAAAAGGGAAAAAAAGAAAAAGAAGCGCATTCAAAGGGATTCTCCACGGTGACCTCATCCTATCCTTAGCTCGATGAGCGCAGGGGTTAAAAATGCCATTATTTGTCTACGTATTTTCCCACTGAGGGGAAATAATGTTATGAATCCTGTGGTTAAGCTCGTAGCGAGTAACACAACGTAAATCACGGCGCTGAACACACAGTGGAACACGGCAGCGCAGAAGGACAGAGGCAAGGAGCCATGCATGAAATTAGTTCATTAATCTTTCGATGATAGAGTTTGCCCCAAACAAGGACGGCCTATCAGCTTTAAACTGAGGGCCCCTTCCCGCCTGACACACGGATCGCACCGCTAGTCCGCCGTCGGGGTCTCTGGGAAATAAATGGTCACGCGAGCGGGTGTGGGGGGGGGTGGGGGGGGAGCGGTGGCGTGTGCCGCCCGAGCGTTAAGTGGCAACAACATCGTGTGCGTGACATCGCGTGGGCACAAAATGAAGGTCATCAAAAAATGTGTGCGCTCTAAAAATCGAAATGCATTCACGCGCTGCTACGGATAATGTAGTCGGTTTACGGGGAAACGGGGATTAGTCAAAGTATCTTTAAAGCACATTTAAGGTTATTTGTCACAATAAGCCCCGTTTATTAAAATCCACAATGAAGCTGTACATCTTCTTCATCGTCTTTGGCTGTCGGCTCAAATCTAAATCACACAACCTGACATATTACTTCTCAAAACTCTGAGGTAATTAGTCCTTTGAAAAATGTTTACCTGATTTAGTTGATTTAATTAACACTAATCAAAAGAACCCTGAAATGATTTTCAAAAAGTTTTCAAAAAAGTTGTTTCAGCGCTACATTTAAAGTGACGGTTTGTTTCGTGCTCTATGAAGGCCACGAGATCCAAGCTGGAAACCTCTGAAAAGTAAATGGCCCTTTTTTCCCACAAATGGGTTTTTGGCTGAACAACATTTTTATTTTCTTACGCATCTTTACTTCAAAGTCCCGACTCCTGAACAAGTTGGTCAGTGCTACGTTTGTACTGCATGGCAGATACACTATGTTTCTGCTTCTATCTAACACCCCCCCCCACACACACACACACACACTCACTCTGGTACACAGTACTTCCAGCATATGGCCTCTTCAATGTCACTGCCACGAGGAGCGATTGCATAGATTTCCCACATGGATGAAGTCTCCTTACCTGGAGTATCAACCCCCATCTACATACACGTTCACCACCTCCAGGAAATTGCTCTGCCTGCAAAGTCAAACACACCCCCTAACTGCCTTTTAAAGGGGAGACAGAAGAAAGGAGGCTGTGGGGGAGAAAGAATAAACGAGCGGAGACTTAAGCCGTCATTGGGAATCAGAGGGGGACTCATGAGGGACAGTTACGATATTGATTTCATAAATAAACAGAGATGGCCATCGATCCTAATGTTATTTTGCATTTCAATTACTGCCCGGTAACATAACCTTCAAACGTCTGCTTCTCCACAGTAATAACATCCACTGATAATCACAAGCAAGTCTTGTCCGCCGCAAATTGGCTTTTCTCTCTCTTACTCAGTCTCTTTTTCTTTTTTCTTCTCCGAATGTGTAAATGACACAACTTTGCATTTGCCTAATGGTATTAGGGCCTGGGCTGAATTTCAAGTGAGACTCAAGCTGATACAGTAAGCGCTCCGGCCAATTGACACAATGCAAATTAACGTGGTGAAGAGGAATTAAGTTCACAATGTGAGACCTCGTGAAGCAACGACGAGGCCCATTCAATTAAACACGCCGGCCGGCCCACACTCCCACTCCTTCTTGTGTGTATGTGTTAATTTAATTTGATCAATAAAAAAAAAAGAAAACTCATTCTTAGAAGTCCCCTCTGCTGCTTACATACAGCCTGAGCACAAGAAAGCCACGTTGCGTTATATGATTGAGCGGTGGCTGGAAAAATGAACGCGTCCTTTTACATCCTGATGAATTCAGAGTCCTTGACAGGTTGCCTAAAGGATGCATCTGTATCCCTCCATCACGAGGGGGGTCATGACATGTAATGAAGTTATTTCTCCTCTCACGCAGTCACGCAGAGCTGGGCAGTTCCCTCGTATGCAGCAGCCGTCGCCATTAATAAACACGCCCGGGCTGAACCCTTTTTGAATTGTTTTTATCATTTGTCATCGTCCTTTTTTTTTTTTGTCCCGACAGCCTTCGTGAATACTGACGGCCGGCGGTAAAAGAGAAGTAGTGTTTTCTCCCACAGTGACAACCAAACTGACCCACCAGCTGCGCCCTCCATCCGGCAGGAGGCTCCGTTTTTAATAATTTTGTGTGAAAAAAGCAGAATGAGAGACACTACCACAAGTTACAGAACGGTATTCGGTTTTATAAAGAACACATAGAAGCAGAAATATGATTCAAAGTGACATTTTCTCTTAAATATCAGTTTCCAAATAATCTCTGTGGCGGACACAGTTATTTATCAAGATAGGTTTATATATCTTTTATATCAAAGAGCTTCCATTTAAAAAATCTAAGCGTTATAATTATATATATATATATATATAATTATAACGCTATAGCTAGAACATAGTACATATACAATATTCTGATGTAATTTAATTGATTTTCAGTCTAACATAATAATTACCACTGTTTACAAGGCCTCATTTTTAAGATACAATATTAATAAGCTGTTTAATCTCTTGATAAAGGTGAATTATGCAGTCATGTTAAGAAAAAGAGACATTCGTTCAAATATTAATGCCACCATAACCGATGTAAACGTTGGCCACGTGTATGTCCAGTGTGATAAATACAGATGCAAAGAATAACGTGTTTCTCTTAACAGACACCGTCAGGTGTTTGCATGATATGGCACCGCTAAAATTAGATCCCAGGTCAGTGTGCGAGCCTTTGGTCTCATCCGCACATGTATATGCGCGCGCACATATCCGCTTGTGCATTCATGTCGGTGTGTTTGTGAAGGGCACCTACAGCAAGCAGCAGGTAGAACCCGATAGAAATGGATGCAAATTTATTTGAGCGAACTGAATACCAACGAGATTTAAACTGTAGATGAATTGTGGTTAAACTAAACTTTAATCACAATGACACATTGAGGCTGACCGTTTGAACAACAATTACTTTAACATTTAAGGAATAAGAAAATAATTGTTTTTTGTTCCTTAGTGACGATATACAAAATACAATTCTATATGAAAAGAGGTTTTAAGTACAGAAAAAAACAGTATATTATATATCGACTAAACTAAAAAGTTTGATGTTTGACGTTTTTTTTTTTTTTTTTTACCTAAAAGCCAGAACTTTGAAGTGAAAGAAGTATTTAAATTGATGCACAAAGTAACATCTCTGAACAAAAATGACCTTTAATCTATACAGATGTCCGTATATGCATATTTAAATATTTAAATATTTTTATAATGTGACAACTGACGAGCTATAATATTAGTTTGCAGAGGAGACAGTTGGACACATCAGTCTTGGGAGCGCTCACCTCTGGCCAGAAGGTTGGTCGTCAGTCCTCAAGTGATTATTAATAGCCCGCCCAGAAGTCTGACCTTACACAGCTTTATGTGACACTAAAAGCACAGATTTACTGTATGAAGACACACGAGCAACTACAATCACATGCAGTATGCAAGTAAAGATGCTGTATAATACATATTTTAGTTTTTTATTAGTATAAACTGCCAGGTCCAACAGTTTATAGTGATAGCAGGCGGTTTCGTTTAAAAGCTCTATTATGATTGGCTCTCCTCAAATAAATTAAAATGCACATAGTAAATTAATCTAACCCCTTGGAACATGAACATGCATGCGCGTCCTTAAACAGAAAAGGCTTCAGAGTCGCCAAATCACACTTTTTGTTTGCCTTCATAAATGGAACTTAAACAACAAAACAAAAGGGTGCAAAAACAAACAAACACACACACACACACACACACACACACGTCACGGGGTCACTTTAGGTTTATATCATTACATTGTCCCTTTCCTTCAAATTCAACTTAAACAATTTTAACATAAAAACAAAAAAGTAACTTTTAATTGAATGGAAGTCAACTACGTTCAGTTTTATAGATTCTGGAAATTGATGATTGTGCAAGAAATGAGAGCTCAGGGGTTGTGTGTGTGTGTGTGTGTATGTGTGTCTTCTTTTTTTTTTTTTAAATGCGCTGCAATCTGCAAAGGAATTACAATATCGAATGTCAAGGCTTATAGACAATACTGGAAACTGATATATTTAAAAACAGGAAAGCCGGATCGGTTACTCTTATGTGAGGTATCAAAACAACGGCTACATTCTCAAAACAAAGGTGGTTGAGCATTACACTCACAAAAGTGTTTTCGCTGATGAATTACTGTCATGAGTGATTGTAGTGGTTCAATTAAATGTATGGACTTTATACAATGCACCTTAGCTGAAGAACCCATGAAGCAGTTTGAATTGTCAATATTGTGACTCTTTATATTTTACTCTATTTTTCCCTTGAGTGTTATTGTGGGTGCCATTGAACATCTAAAATACAGTAAAAATGAATGTAAAAATCAACGAGATGCACATTGAAAATGTAAATATTATCACTTTATAATAACAGTCACCAACGCTTTTGATAAATCTGTCATTTTTGAATGCAAAACTGTTTAATAATGTACATTGCTAGTCAAACACAGACATGCCATTTGACATTTGTCACTTTTGTGAGTGTTTGCATGACAGAACATCTCATTTGTAGAGAGTTGTGTGGAGTTTGAATTATCCGTAATCGCAGCCCTATAGAAAGTGCTAAGCAGGTTGAATCTCTCCAATCCCATCTACAGATTAACATTAAGAGGATTCCAGTAAAGGGCTCCTGTCCAGTCATATTTGGTCAAGATGAGGGCGTCTTTCCAGGCATGCAAGGAGTGAAGAGAGGCACAAAAAGGCAGGTGCTCCATCTGAGATGTGGGAGTTTCTTTGACTACTAAAACTCAAACAAGCTGCACGTACAACCTGAATGCAAAATGACTTTAATCTTATTTGAACATAATGCACTGCATTGCCACTAAAATAATCTGCCACTTTGGAGCTGATCAATCCCGGGGCCTATAAATCTTAAAATCTACCAACAACAGAAAAAGTGATCGGCGCTTTAACGCTTTAACAAAAACGGGCAGTTATCTGCCCCCTCGAGCGTGTTCTCCCCTCAAGAACTCAAGACCGGGCAACCGCGCAGTCACACGGGTCCTCTTTCCCCGGGACGCCGGCGGCTGCCAGAGGACGTCGGCCCGGATGCGGCCCGCGTTAATCTGCGTCTGGCCGTCCCCCTCTCCCTCCCCCCGTTATTGAGTGGTTAAACCCCCGGATCCTGATGCAGAGACAGCTGTGGGGGCAACTGTCCCACCCGGACTCCCCGCGGGCTTCGCTTACCGCAGCCTCACCGACACGCTGCTGAGCGCTGCTGTCCCGTGCGCGGGGAGCAGAGGTGAAGCGAGGACCTCCATGGCTTTTTACAGTTTACATTAAAACACAATTTTTTTTTCCAAATGTCCCAAGTTAATGAAATCACCTCGGCTGAGTTTAAAGAAAGAAAGAAGATACACAGAGAAGAGAAAAAAGATGCACCTACTGGTTGTGGTAGCAGAGCGGGTCGGGGATGCACAGCTCGGAAACATCCATCAGTCCAGGTTAAGCATTCCAGGTGTTGCAACAAAAAACAACAAAAAAAACAACTGACAAACAAACAGCTGGAGGCGGAGATCAGTTCCTAAACCTCCACATATCTTGATGAAATGTTGGTCAGGTGTTCCTGGGTGTTGCCTCCCCTCCCTTCCCCGTTCAACACACACACATACGCACAAGATAAAATAAAAAAACAAAAAAACGCCTTCCGCCTCGGCCCGACAAACTCCAGTCTGCACAGGTGCTGCGCACTGAGGCTCAGCAGGGTGCGTGGAGAGACGGACAGTGGTTTTGATGCACAGAGAGAGCGAGAGACAGAGAGAGAGAGAGGAGGAGGAAAACCTGAAGTGCAGGAGAAGAGAGGAAACAGGGAGCAAGTGTGCAGGACAGGAGAAAGAGTGATGGATGGAGAACGAGACGAGACGCAGATGGGTGGAGAGCAGCAGCGGTGAGAGCAAACTCGAGTCTGAGCAAGCCGGTGAGGGGGGATTGAGTCTCCATTGAAGTCACGGGGGCTCTTTAAGAGCCGGGGGGGGGGGGTCCGGTGCGGCTTGGAGATGCTGCCATTGGTCGGTTTTTGAGGGAAGCTGTTCTGTGAGCCACCAATGGGGGCGAGGGATTAACCGGGGTGGGACGGGCTAATCAACGGCCAGTCGGGGTCGAGTCATTCACAAGGGAGCGCTGCAAAACAAGGGACACAGGCAGACCCCACCCCCCACCATACATATATATATGTACATAGATACATGCATACTATACTGTATACATGCATTTATCTATCAATAAACATAGGGAGATGTATGAGGGGTTGTTTACATGCACAAGCAAACTGAAGTGGGCCGTAGTCATTTACAAGCAGCACCAGTAGCGTTGAGGTGATTTGAACAGGCTTGTTTATTGTGCTTTTAAAAAAAGGCTCAGTTCCAGCTTTATAGAGCTAAACTGTTCTCTTGACTCTTTCATCCCCTCCACTGCGGATCACCACCGAGGGCTTTTCCACGGCGTGCCCGTCCTTTGAAGTGAGGGGCAGCTGCTTCCCACAGCATTTCGCCGCACCACGCCGGAGAGCCGGGGGTCCGCCAAGAACCAAAAGGAGTAGCGGATGCAGGAAGCCGAGAGCGATAATGACCTCGGCAGGAACGATGATAACGATGACAGACAAGTTCGAGTGGATCTTTACCGCGTCTGTGTAGTGTGGCAGCCATCAGGGGAAACTCAACCCCCCCCCAACACTCCTCCCCCCCCCACACTCCCCTTCCAACCCACTTCATCAACCCACATTTTCCCTGATCGATACAAAACCCATCACACGCTCATATTGATCACAGCGTTGCTGTGTCGCCAGAAGCTTCGCCACAGACTCCGTTTCCCAACCTCAAAAAAAACAGGAATCATAAATTTGAATGTCTCCTTTTCATGTCAGTCCACATCAGAGTCACGGGAGCGAGCGCTGATTGCTTTAATAAAAAGGAGCTGTGCTTTCTCAGTTAAATTTTTGATCAATATTTGGGCATTTAATGTACTTTCCTGCAGCGGAAAACCGGGATATTCCTCCTGATCGGATTAAGACATCCAGACATAATCAATAGAGGAGATAGGTTTATGTTTTTAATGAGGCAGAGAGAGAAGGCCGATGTTAAGATGACATGTATGAGGATTTCACATTACGGTTGAACACAATGGAAATGAAATATGGAAATCTTTAAAAAGAAAATCTAGAGTGCATGTGAAAAAAAATCTCTTCAAGATGCTGGTTGGGTTAAACAGACACACTTTAACCAACAATTACCATCCATCAGAGTACTTTCATATCGGCCTATTAATTAAAAGAAGCACTGCGCTCTCGTATGTGCGTTTTCTGAGGTGATCCATGGAGTCCAAGGCTCATCTGCCTCCTCCTCACACACAGAGAGAGAGGACAGCGGGCTTCATGGCATCTGACAGGAAATCTATTGAGCGCACATTCGGTAATCCCACTATCACGCTATCGGCAAACGAAGGAGCAGTAATCCAATCATTAGGTCCGTATTTAAGCAAAACTGATTTTCGGCTCTACGACCAAAAGTGTTTCTCTTCTTGAAGGAAAACGCTCTGCAGTAGTTCGGCTTTTCAGAATAGTTTTGCTCCCATTTGCCGTTTGTCACTCAGTGATCTATTGCCCAAGGTCCTCTGAATGCTGGCGGAGGGATTCAGGGGATTTTTTTGTGAGGAGACATTGAGGCCTGTGACAAAACGCTTCCAGAGGCAGATCAGAAACTGTAATTTAACCGTCTGTGGGAAGCCAACGTGAAAAAGAATCAATCCTGATCTGTCAATAAATTGTAATTACATATTGTGGTGAGTTGAGGGACACAATCTCCCCGTCACACTCACTGAATGGAATTAATTTCAGGATTCATGACAAAAACCGCTCGACCTTCTGACCTCTCCAAACACTCTGTGTGCAGGAGGCCCACGTGTACTCCGATCCAACTATTGTCGAGGATTTCACTTTGGAGCTATAGAACTACATTTTGAAAGGTATAAAGTTGATTTCGCTTGATTATTTAAATGTTCTGCAGAATTAAGAGGAAGAATTAGGAAAAAAAACCCAGGAGATTCCAATTCGTCTGTCATCGTATGAGAGCCCACAAACAGAAATGTGACATGAACATCATCATTGGCTTCACACAGTCGTGTGTATTTCTGTTATCTTACTACAATCTTTTCATACTGGAGGAAACGCACAACTCCATTTCCATCAGAAATAAGGAACATCAAACTATGGTTCAATCCCCCCAAAAAGAGTGATAATGTGTCCGAGTTACACCTTTCTGGAAGTAATTTCATTATTAATTCTGTGAAGCACAATAGTGACGCTATAAATGAATGCGACAAAAATAAGAGTGACTACCAGAAGTCAAGGTGACACATTACTAATGAAATTTTACCTATCATTCTGTTTCGCTGTGATTGAAGGGGATTCATTTTCTTGGATTACTTTGCGCTGGTGTAATTTTGGCTTTACGGCGCTTTGTTACATCTCCTGTATCTGTCGGACAGAAGTAAATAAAACGTAAAACATATTTCAAAAGATACAAATTACGATCATCTCCTTAAACAAATAAGGAACCGTCCACATAAAAAGCAAACATATTTTTCACAGATATTGTAAACTTTTAAAAATCAACGTGTTTAAAGCTTCAACGCCACCTCCAGAGTGGTCAAATCAACAAATGTGTCTCCATCCAACGACTGACTCCAAACACAACCCGAATCCTTCCGATGCATCACTTGCACACTTCCCTTCCTCTCTCGCCGCCACACACACACACACACACACACACACACACTCGCTTGGCTCGACCGCTGGAGGAGTGTGGAGCGGGATAATTACCATCGCCACAGGGCTGCATTAATCAGCTGGGTGCATTTGTTGGTTTTTATGGGAGGTTCCCGTCCCCCTCTCTGAGCCACCGGGACTAGACGGTGCAGGTGGAGGAGCCGCGGTCGCCCCCGCAGGCCGGTTCACGCTGGGTTAATAAATGCTATTAGCCGCCATCTCTTCCCTCTTAATTTCTCATTTAACCGCGGACGGTTAAAACAAAACTACACGAGCCGCGTTGTTAATCAGGGACTCGTCGCAGGGCTCGCATGTCTTGATTGAGAGAGCTGGACCCGCGCGGTGGGGGACAGAAGTGTATGCTGATCTCTATTATTGGACACCAGACACAAAAACATGGATTTCTAGGAAATTCATACTCATGGCATAAGTATGTGTGGCATTATGTGTTGATACGTGCTTATCCAAAATTTTAAATCATTTGTATTTTCCCATTTAAGATTAGTATTTAAATTAACGGTCTTCTTGCATTTACACTGTAGGTGTTTATATTGTGGGTATATTGTAGGATTATATTAAATTGAGGAGTCCTTTTGATTCAGTTTAGATACTTAACTTTAAAAAAAAAATCTGTTTTACAAATGATACATATATATATATATATATATTTTTTTTTTTTTATTGTGTACTTCCATTCATGCCGTCTTGAATCGTGGCATCAACAATACCACACTTGTTCTCACTGCTCCATTCATTATCACAATGTCCTCAATCACGACGAGACACTTTGGTTAAATGCAATCGCCAAATGGCATACATTATCTGGAGGACATCTTTCTAACCTGCGTCGCAGCCGCGCTGCAAAACGAAAGCCGCGATTGTGAGTCCAGCAACAGCAAATGGTCTCCGCCGCGTTTAATCACATTAGATATAAACAAAATCAATTGCGCCAGCGTGCTCTAATTTTAAACGGCTCCTTGACACCAGCCGAATCCTCGGCGACTCGCCCTACGTCACCTGCATAACACAATGGGGTGGTGGGTGGGATGGAGTCTGGATGGAGTCACCTCTAAAAGCAGAGCCGGCTTGTGTCATTGCCATCCAGAAACAGGATCAATACATTCCTCTCAAGTTCATTCCAATAAGGCAGCTGGCAAAAAAAAAAAAAAAAACGGCCCATGTGGCGTCAGCTTTTTGCAGCGTTACGACGCTCGTGCACACGAAGCAGGCCTGCTGCGTTCGGCCGCTGCAGGTGAAACAGCTGGCGCCGAGAGAAGCGTGTAACTTTACACGGCGGCTTTGAGTGTCTGCTGGAGAACAAGTCTACGAAACATGGTGAGACTTTGTTATCCATCATATTGAGATTTCTTTTAGCATGTTTTTGGCTCAAAAAACAGGCGACGGCTAGCTGGCGGTTAAAAGCCGCACAGGGGGACAACGCGCTGGCATCTCTGCCAGTAGGTCCGGTTACTGTGGAGGAACAGCGGGGAGAACTTCTGCAGTCAGCGATACCAAAAACGTCTCAGAGAAGAAGAAGAAGAAGAAGAAAAGAGGACAAGATCGTATGCTCATTGAATTTGTGTCACGGAGCACTCGTACCTCGTCGGTTAGCAGCTCAGCTCTGAGGAGCAGTTAACTTAAGAACAAAACTTTCAGTCTCAAACGACTTATCGCGTGTTTTGATAAGGAAATTATCCTCTTTGCTCGTCTCGCTCCCACAGCGCTTCAGTATGAATCACCTCCAAAAGACGGGAGGATTGTCAAAAACACTTAAGAGTCAGTGGTGTATCCTGTGAAACAAAAATCCTCTGAGCATTGATTTCAGCTGCTGATAAAATGATCAAATTAGTTCAATGCATAATTTAAACAGCTGCTGAACGACTTACACTTGAAAGCATCGTGCATTGGCCTTATAGTAAAATTGAGGGAGGGAAAAAAAACAAAAATCTCTGGTGTCTTTTTAAACCGCAGGACTTTTACACATTGTTGATGAACATAGCACAAAAAGAAACGAGCATTTATGTAAAGCAGCCTCCGTTGGCATTAAATCTCTTTTTTTTTTAAAAGACGGCTTGGTATTCAAGACTTGGCTCCGCTAAGATCCAGGGATGACTTTCATTTAGTCTCACCTCTCCGTCCAACCGGGGTCACCCCTGTTGGTATAGCAAGCACAGCAGTCACATTGCTCCACCATGCGCGCAGATTGCTTACTAGAACCGCCTGGAACCTTTCATATTTCCCTGTCAGCATTTTTACAGGATAATTTTGGCAGCCTTTAAGGATATCGCTGCCTTAATAGAGGATAAAAATAAACGGGCGGTGGAAGGGCTATATCAGGCCGGTTTAATCTTGTATTCTATACTGTGTAGAGCTAAACATCTGGCTTTGGCTCCATTCAACGAGATTAAACGCCTCCCCGGTTGATTCCGGAGACCACTTGTCCTATTTTTAAAAACTAGAAGGAGCCTTTTGAGCCAAGTGAATCTCAACCGGCCAGTTAAACTGATTAAAACACTGGTGTAAATGGCATTACGGAGCGGCTTCTCAGAATGTCTTTGCCTCTGTATCCCATTGAGCTGCTCTAGTCAGCAGATTTCTATAGATAGTTCGGGAGATTCGGTTTGTATTTGCACACGTGTGCACGCCTGGATGTGTGCTGCGTGTGCGCGAGCACGCAGAGCCTGTCGGTGTGTGTAGTTACAGCAGTGAGTGACTGTGTAAGAAAGCTTGTCAAAATGACTCAAAGAAGGAAACAGCTTAATTCAATCGGCGCTGCCGCTTTCAAGACCACGAGGGAGCCGGCTAATGGTGTTAGGAACTTGAAAAGTTGGAGAAAGAAAAAAAAAAAAGGAAACATAAGCTCGAGGAGTTCTCACTACCTGGGAAAGGAGTGTGTTCCTTGAGGCTTTCCTACACTGTATGATAGTAAAAGCTCCACTCTTCCGAGCCTTGTTGCTTCTCTGTGAGCTCAAATGCTGGATTTTAGTTTGTGCTCCTCCCATGAGGGACAAAGCTTTGCAGAAGTTAGAGGAGGGTTATATGAAGTTCAGTGAAAATGTTTTTTTTTTCTTCTTCTTTCCAGCACTTGGGCAACTTTTTTTAAAATAAAAGACAAGAATATGGATCGAGATGTTCTGCAGAAGCATGTTTGGATGCGAGTGGATGGGGAGTTGCAGAATATACATATTTAGGTAAAAGTTAAAAAAAGGGACCTCTCTTCTAAATAGGCATCCTGTGGGCATTTCCATGCAAAACTATGAAAAAGAATCTGGAGAGAACATAAGTGTGTGTGTGTGTGTGTGTCTGTGCAGGTCTACGAGGCGTGCACCTCGTTTGTTTTATGCGCCCTTCCCCCTTCTCCGACATTCACCCCCATTAATTCCATGATTGTGTCTTCCTCTCATTTTCTCCCTCGTTATGCATTTAATGTTTCCAATTTGCCGTCATCACAGAAAAACGCCACAAGAAGCTATAAATTCTTTTCTAATTCCAAATAATTAGGATTACACGGACCAGTGGTTTTCAATCAGTGAGATCATCTCGCTGATAGATGGTGGGATAACTGGTCATTGCCGAGACATAAATATCGTGTCGTTCAATTAATCTGGTCTAATGAGGTGTCAAAGCTGCCACTCATCCATCAAATACAATTAGGAATAAACACATATGCATGGAGATGGGTAATTAATAATTAGCAAAGCAAAGAAAACAATATTGGTTTCAGCCGCCGGATTCGAGGAGCAATTTACACACAGCGCGCTCGCTCTCCATTCGATCTTCCTAGTGACTGAGACAATGACACATCGAAGGAATTTCAATCGATTTCTTCCCGTCGTTCGTGCGTGTGATCTTTGATACGCTCGCAGATTCTGCCGAGACATGTGTCACTTTGGAATACAGTTACCAACGTTAAAGCGGCAACTCAGAGTCCCGTCAATAGCTTGACCTTAAAAAAACAAAAACAAGAGAAACCTAAAAACTCTATTTGCATTTTACCCAGATGAACTTCAGCAAGACCTGCTGAAATGTGATGGATAGAGTTCTCTTCTGGACCAAGAAAGAGGAAAACATTTATTCTAGATCTTGGGGACGTGGAGACTGCCATCAACACTTTATCTCCATCTCGCTCTAAAGCCCACAAGGTTCATTGTCCTAAAAAAAAAAAAAGACATTTCATACCGAGTGTTCGTCTTCCATTTTCAGAGGGCAGTCGAGCATCCTGACAGAGTTAAAGCGCAGTGTCGGGATGAGACCTGTGGTATGAGAACAACCATTTATCCTGCTGAGCTGCAAACACAATGTTTCAGCTGTCAAAAGAACCCGTCACACAAAGAGGTGGATGTATTTGAGAGCCCGCTCGTATCAACCCTCAGCCTCAACCACTCGCTTATTGAAGCTCTCCGCTGCACCCGGTTGACACCCGTCAAACAGGAGCGGTGAAACAATTACGATTCTGCATCTCATGTTTGTACAAACCTATGAAGTAACAATTGTTCTCGCTCTGCAACAACAATTCATTTGGAGTAGCAACAGTAAAACTTTTGGAATAATTTAATACTAATGTAGCCACATAATATTGGCTATTGAAAATGAGCAGACGACGTGTGGATACCTCGTGTTCTCGTACACAGCAATAAACAAACGTCCGAGTCGAGCGAGGCCCTGCGGCGTCTGACGGCAGAGACACGTGACGCACCAGAGGCCGACACAACGGGCCTGAGACGCCGAGACACCCCGATGGTTCAGCTCAGCAGCAGCGAGGAGGCAATTACCCCGGAGGCATCGGGGCGAAAGACGGGAGGAAAATCAATACATCATTGCAGAATTTCAGAGGGTGTTTCCTTCAACAGTCGACGTCTCAATTCGCCAGTGTGACGTGGTGGTTTTTGGAGTTAATCTCACCTTTCGCAATTCACGTGAAGATGACAAATAAGGATTTACCTGTGGCTGCCCGCGTGTCATGGGTCGTTTTAGACTCGAGTACAAATGCATTTCAATCCACTGAAAACGTGAAGTCTGGCATTAATAAGCACCGCCACAAATTTTGAGTCTGAAAAAGTCAATTGCAAACACACCCCCCCTCAAAAAAAAGGTTTTGCAGACACCTCTGTGTATGGCATATTTAGGAGAGATTGGACTTCACCTGACCCCCCGGGTTAAGCACCGTCATCCGGTCCTGGTGGCACATCAAGTTCACACAAAGTTGACCTTTGCGCAGCCTGTCCGGGCCTGTAGGCGGGCAGCAGATGGGCAGAGCTCCTGCCTACCGAGCGCCACAAAAAACAAAATGAAACAAATCAATAACGGCGTCTCTTATGGACACGATAATGACCACAAATCCACTCAAGCGTTGAGGCGACCCCCCCCGAGAGAGGCTCCTCTAAATGAGTGTGGGTTAGTGTGATTGACTAATCGCCTACTGAATTAGAAAAGACAATATCATACGGCTTTGTGCCGCTCCTGAGAGCTTTGTGCGCGCTCTCTCACGGGAGCACCTATTGCCCGTGATGATTGTTAAACATAATGGCACACCTTCTTCCATAACCTGGCAATTATACCGCCGGCAAGAAAAAAAAAAAAAACTTCAGGCATTTTCTCCTTACAAAATAGTAAAAGAACCCATTTTTTAGGATTAGATACGACTGGCTTTTATGTCGTGGATTTGAATATGAAAAAGGAGACTGGTGGGGAGCGCAGGCGGCCCAAGGGACCCAAACACAGACTTCCTCTAAAATGTTAATCGTTTAGCTAATTGAAGGTATGTTCTTTGTGGGCTCCGCGTTTTGGAGGGTCCCTTGTATGGGCCGAGCGAGCACAAGGTAGCGGCGCTTTCAGATGTGATTGTATTTGACTGCTGCTGCAACCGGGGCGCCGGTGGATTTAGGCGCTTTTAAGATAAGTTACGGGGGACACACGCACACCCACAGACGTGCATGGAGACACACACACCTGCATGTACACCCACCCACACACACATACACACACACACACACAAACATGTACATGGCAAACTATTTGCATTTCAAAAGAGCATAATTGCCCCGGGCGGTGGCAGGGGGGGAGCGTGGCCTCAGGATTCCCCGAGAGCACCTGTGAAGTCGGCGAATCACGAGTCTGGATTCAACCGGAGCTCCTCTTTCATGCGAGCATATTCACATCCTCCCGAGGAATCGGCAGGTAGAGCAGTCACACAAGCTCATACAGACAAGCCATTAACTCAACGCTGCAGTTCAGGGGATGAAATCTCAAATGATCGTTTCTGTCAAGAAAAATATTTTCCCTTTTTCGCCCCCCCACCTTGTTCAAGGATAGTTTTTTACTTTGTTTGAAATGTTTTGCTTAGTTATTCCACACTTATTCCACATTGCTAATCACTTTCAGGAGATTTCATGTACTGCACGCGGCTGGTCAGTGATCAGATATCACATTCATTCTCACAATGCATCTCCAAAACAAAGCAAATGATTAGAAAGTCGACTGCAGCCCGACCGAAAGGTACGAAAAAGGTCAGACGCGTTCTCCGTCTCGCATTGCTGCGCGAGCCCTCGCGTCCACTCGGGAGGAGATGAAAGGGGGACGGACGGCGACGCGGTCGGAGGACAATCCGTCAGCGGCAGTCATCACTTAGCCGAGCACCACTCACTCGATGAGCGCCTCGGCAGACTTAAAAATGGGAGCGCCGGGCAGAGCCAGAGAGAGATGATTAAAAATATGCATGAAAGGAAATGCAAATACTTTAATACTGAGCTAAAAAAAAAAAGAAAAAATCACACCGGGGACAAAAGACACAATCTGAGAGAAAAAAAAACTAATATTCGAGATAATACACTACATTCGAGACCCATTTTATCCTTTTCACCGATGGTTCAAGAGTTTAGCTCCATGTTTACACCACAAAAACCTCACTTCAGCATCTAATAGGAGCTGGCACTGCGCGTGGGGGTGAAGGACGTCTAGATGTGCCGCCCCCGTTTCATGGCACAATAAATGACTGTGGTCCGGGTTCCAGCGAAAACAAGGAGCGCTTTTCAATTCCACCTCTTTTAGCGGGATGAGTGATGAACCCTGGGTACGAGGTGCAGTGTTGTGGTATTAACATACATCAGGGGCCACAGCGCCACACTAAATCACGAGCCGCAGCCCATTTGTTATTCTAATGACAAGCAACAGCCGCGTTCGGGCTGCTCGGAGTCCGAAGATCCCGAAGATCCCGGAGACTAAAAGTAAAAAACAAGGCCTTAAAGACGGACGACTTTTTTCACACTGGCAGAAATGATGACAGATACGGGGCCCGTATACCATCCCGCAGTTACACTAATCTACACAAATGTGACAAAAGCAATCTCTTTGAGTGCTGAAATTAAAAGTACAACCCAGGTAAAAGCCAGATTTCAATCAATGGGAGAGACTTCTTAAAATCACATTAAAGGCTCTCTACTTCAAATCACTTGCACTCATCTCCGAGGTGTTTCGACCAACAGCCGCTCATCTGACCCAGCGGATCATAAATCAGCTTTCAGGAGGAGATCGGGCAAAAAAAAAAAAAAAAAAAGGAGAAGAAAAGACGGACGGATTCCGGCGAACTCTTCGGATTGAATAATCAATACTGACAAAAATGAATTGCTCGACTGTTTATCAATGTCTGTGGCCGGCGCTAAAGCGCCACTCCTGTAATGTGTATTTCATACACTTTTATACTCATTGATTACCTGCTCTGTAGTTTGTAAATCACGTGTATATCGATCTGCTCATCATACGGTTTGGGCTTTTACAGTCGGCCATTTGTGCCACTGATAAAGAGATCATGATTGAACTCTGTATAATAAATCTAAAACATGTTATTAATACACTATTTATAAAGTAACAATGCAGTGTCTTGCGTTTAATATTATTATTTCATGTGTTGTCCAGCAGTGTTTAGGCACCACAACCACTTTATTAGCTTTAGGAATTAGGATATAGGTTTATTTCGTCAGTTAATTTCGTTAGTTAATTAGGGACGTAAGTTATTAAGTAAAGTGAAATAAGTCAATGTTGACTTTTGGTGTCTCGTGGGACATAAACAGCTGTCTCCTGGGTGCAAGTGATTGTTTCATCAATTGACTGCAGACTTTGATGCCCTTTATAACGCGTGATCAGACTTGCTCGCGGTCAGGAGGGCTTTAAACAACAAACAGTGAATAAAAACTGTTGGTGTCATTAGATTAATAAATTAGGAGTCACTAAAATCACTTTCAAAGGGACAACGCTTTTCTGCAGCATCACAGGGCGGTTCTTCGTCCTGAGGCCAAAAATATTGATCGATGATAAATGATAAATTGGAAATACAGAATAGAAATGCCAGTCAGAAACTACCATTTATTCTCATTAGTGGAGTTCATGGGTTCATTCCAAAAGGGACACGGAAGTCCAAAAATGAGCAGGAGTGTCCCCGTGAGTCCTGATTGCACTCGTCGAGGGCTCGAGTGCGGGTGGGAGGGAAAGAGGCACCGTTCGGATCGATGGCGCCGGATCGATGATCAATAGGCCGCTCTCACAGATACACTTCCTGCTGACGCTCACAGCTCTTGTTACGCAGATGAAAATGGGTGGGCGGAGCCCGAGCGTGATGATGATTTATGTAAGCCGAGCAGACGTTTCATTTTGGAGAGGGAGAGAGAGAGAGACTGTCTGATAGAGACGCCTGAATGTCACCGCCTGGACAGCGAGGGAGTGTTTGAACGTCCACGCCGACGGACTCCTGCTGGTCACCAGGCGAAGATATGACCTACTAAACTAATCACGAAAAGAGCTGCGTAATTAAAACCGCTGTCAACATTAAACTGGAAGCCCGAAACAAACATCCAAAAAAAACAATTCATAATGTTAATGGAAACGCTTAGTTTTAACTAGTAATGGCAAAGTGTTTTGTTTGCAAGCCAAAAAAGAGGATACAATGGGAAGATGGCAAAAATGTTTAAATCAAATTTGTAAAACGCACCAAGAACGAGGCAATAAATCCTTTTCCTGCAGTACTTTGGACGATATTTTATCATTACAGAAAAGAAATACACACCGTTCATGTTACAAAATCTCTCCACTTTAGAGCTTTTATCTTCAGTGAGTTTTATTTCATCATCTGTCAAACGTTCAACCTCACTAGCCGACACTAGACTTAATTGGAGGCTGACATTTTACAGGACTATATTAAAGAGGCGGATTTAGCAGCGTCCACATATGTCCAACGTCTCCTACGTCAACACACGTCGGTTCCCGCTTCGCCGGGTGACAGTGACCCAACGACCGAAGCAGCAGGCGGCAAAACCCCCAAAGCGCCTCCCGTTCTCGTCACGCCTCCGTCACGCCAGCACTCACTTGTGTGCGCGTGCACAAAAGGTGAACACACACGAAAAGACACACACACACACACACACCCACACACCTGGGCCTGGTTTCGACCCGTCAGTCACCCATGCCTCTCACAGCCAAGGTCTAGTGACAAGTGTTAAATCGGAGCGCGCCTTCCGTCCCCGCCGTGGCTAATGCTGTTAACTGTAGAGCAGCATCTCGGCTAGCACGTCCTGCGCACCTCTAATTAGCCCCAAATGAGTCCCGCTCCTCCTCCTCCACCTCCACCTCCTCCTCCTCCTCCACCTCCACCTCCACCTCCTCCTCCTCCTCCACCTGGTGCCCGACTCAACGTGCAGGACTGCACGCCGTCGCAGGACAGCTTCCGCTTGTCGTTTTTCACAATAAGGTGCTGAACTGAGCGCTAGCCGCCATTTCTACCCTCTGCAGGGATGGAGCTCCCCCCCCCCCAAACACCCTCCCTGACCCTCCTCTTCAGAATCCAACCTCAAGTTACCCCTTGCAACTCCGTCCACCCGGCTCTTAGCCGAGGTAAATTGGGTTAACGCACACTAAGTGTCCCATCGTTGGCGTTGTTAATTGACTACTGCGTGGGATAATTAACAGGGAGCGGACTGCCTACCTCGCTAATCTTATTTAGGTCATTTGCATTTAAAATGGTTTTGGTCTCTCTGGCAAAGAAAAAAAAGGCTCATGGAAATGATGCTCCGCGGGTCGAGCCGGTCCGAGCGGCCACTTAACATGGAAACCTGTGAAATTGGGGTTGAAGCGTTTGAAATGCCGTAGTTCAAAACCGTACTTTCTTGCCGGGAAGAGGCAACGTGTGGCTTTGGAACAACCAGGAAGACGCGAGCAGTGGAGGCCCGCCGTCCCCACGAAAGTGCACCTCCTCCCGTTCCTACTTCCGACTATCGC